AAAAAACTCAGGTCTAATTGTGGCTTAGCTAGAGGGTGTAGTTGTAATATTTTCATAGGGGTATTGTTTTAGCATTTCCATGAACGCTAGGGTTTCTTCAAAATGTTTTTGATATATAAATTGGAGAAATTTAGAACCAGATCCAAACTTGAAGGCCTTTTTTCTGTAATTTAGAAAGTTTTCTGTATCGTTACTCAGAGGTGGTTATTGTAATTTAACTAGTTATCCCGTAGTGTAATTTACTGAACCGGAACTTACTACACATTAGGACTAGTTATTGTAATTAATACTCTTATTTTGGAAAGCTAAAATATTCCTAAATCCCCTAAACATTCCTTTACATATTAGGACTTAGTTTTCTCCCCTCAACAAGTCTATATATATATATATACACGTACATACATGCACAAGACAACACATCCCAATTTATTCCTTAAAAAACAAAAATCTAAAACACACATAAAGCATGGATGAAACAAGTAGAGCCGATTTACTCGGGTGTTGGGGGGCCCACATGCTCAACCGAGTCCCGAGGCAACACGTGGAGGTTTACCATGAGAGGATCGAAAACCTCTATGAGGTTCACGTGGAGGCGCTCGCGATTGTGGCCCGGCACCGCGAGGTAGAGGAAGAAAGGAAGAAGCTGCTGCAGTTGGAAGAGAAAACGAAGGCCGACGAAGAGGATGAAGAAGAGGAAGAGAGGCGGAGGGTTCGGGTGGCGAGTGGGGCCCACGCATCGACAAGCAGGGTTTGTTGTTATAAGAAGATGGAAGTCGGTGGGAGTGAGGTGGGAGAGGAGGAGAAGAAGGAAGAGGAGGAGGAGGAGCAACGGTACTGGATATTTAAATAAATTTTTGTTTATAATATATGTTGAATTTGAATTTGGTGACTTGTTTTGAATATATATAAATTTAGATGGAGTTCAAACACTATATGCACTTCCTTTTTTCAATTATTCACGGAGGTTTTTTTTTTTATTTTTTAATTAATTTGTTTTCATTTTTTATTTTCATGTCTAAGTATTTTTCCGATCGATTGCATGCGCCAGAAGAAAACTTTTAATATGTTCTGGGTGCCCAAATTGAGCATATGTCGATGAGGGCGCAGTTTTCTAATTGCAAACTAATTCTAGTAGATATTGTAAGATTAATTTTGATTTAACACCATCATCTTTGAAAAAATTGGAGAAGATGACAATTAATAATTTAATATATAGTGTCCCTGATCACCGGTATCATTAATTACAATCAATTAACACCAAATTTTACATGATTTTCAAAACATAATGTATACTTTATGAAATTCTAACATATATATATGCTATCGATTAAAACATATGCTCATTTTTATTTTCTAATACTACATATTTCTTTTTTAATTGTTAACAATTGTCTAATCCGAAATCACATAAAACTTAGTTATATGTTCTTATGAATGAGTTCATTTTATAATTTAGTCTGATAATAGTTGTTGATTACTGAGTAGCCGAACTTTGGCCGTGCTACATAAAATTTATCTAATAATATTTAAAATAATTTGATAGTCATAAAAACTCAAAATTTATGAAAACTACGCCAAAGTTGTTAGAAAAAAAAAAAAATCATCATATTTGCCCGTTTTTATCGTAACGTATTCATGTTGTCTAATAATGTCAATAATTTAGTAGCATGTTTGGAAATTGGAATAAGTTTGATTGTTTGTTACAATTTTCTAGTAAAGTTAACAATACATTTCTTGAAAATTTGTATCATTTTCATATTTTAGTTTGCAAAGCTTGTTTGAGCTAACTTCGTCAAAGATTTCAAACAACTACTTGGTCATGTTAAGCTCATTTTACTTTTCTATAATACGTCACATGCTAATTGCTAGCATTGATATAAATATTAGTTATTTATCTCATTCCTATATTTTTTGATTCTCTTTAAATGAAGTAGAGATTTTTTATTTATTTTTTCTTTTCAAAAGGATAGAGTTCATAAATAAACACTAGTATGAGTCCCATGCAGTGCACGGGTAAGAGATATTTATTAATATTTATAGTTAAAAATTCTTATTAAATTTTACCAAAAAAAAATTCTTATTAAATAATATTTATAAATTTAAAATATGGAATCAATACGTAATACAATTTACTTATATTAATTTATTGAAAGTGTTATATAAAGTTTAAATTGTGCAAAATTACATAAAAATGTCTATTTAAAATTAGTATACAACTCGTGTGGTGCACATAACTGATAATAAATTACATTATATTCGTTTCAAAATAAGTACCATTTCAAAATTTTGATTCAGAAAATCAATTCGACTATATGTGATTCCATAAAATATTTATTTTGGTAAAATGTTATCATATATTTAACAGTCTATGTGAATAATTAAGTATAAATATAAAATTTATATTGTTTCATTACTTCAAATAATTTATTATTGTATAAACTATTAAAATAAAAAAATTAAGTAGTTGAGTAATTTATTAAATTATAAATAATTGACTATTTCGTTTACGTCCAAGTTAATATTGACCCGTAAGTTATATAATTGACTATTTCGTTTACGTCCAAGTAAATATTGACCCTTAAGTTATGAATAATTATTTTTTATTTTTAAATTTAAATAAAAATCTTTTTATTTTTTTGTAATATATTATATACTAAATTTTTACCATGTAACTAATAAAGGTAATAGCTACAAGTTTTGTCAATATATTATATTTCAAATTTAAATCATGCAACTAATAAATGCAATAGCCGCAATATCTGACCAAAATGATTATGTACATTAATTTAGGCAGGATTTTTCAAATTTTGACAAAAAATATTACTCAAATACTTTAGGTGGGAAACCAAATGTTATTTTACCTCTTTTTAATAAAAAGAGATTTAGATTAAATTAAGTTTATACGTGTGGAGTGAAAAACAATAAACATAAGTAAAAAGATCTCTATATGATTTGTATAATGGTGAACCGTTGGATTTTTATTTATATGTATATAAAAAGATGTACATTCCAAATAATTAAGTTTAGTTATCGCGAAGTTCTCTTCATCGTTTTTAGGGTAGATTTATTATATTTATATGGATAATATATCCAACATAATTGTATTTTTAAAGATAATAAATCGATGAAAACATAATATGGAATATATACCTTTATCATTAGTCTCGACCAATTTGATTACTTTATCTGTATAACTTTGAAATGAACTCTTTACAATGTATTTGTTTTTTTTTTAATTATTTTAAGTTGTATATATTGCATAACTATATGTTAAAAAAATTATATTTTTCTATTGAAATATGCGATTTATATATATGTATATAAAAACTTATAAATTAATTTTTCAATAAAGATTAAATTTTGTATTTTTATTTTTTATTATAGCATTCCCATTTAAAAAATTGTTATCATGATTAGTGTAAAAAGTTTAACAAAATAATTGTCACGTGTAAAAAGATTAATAAAAAAAGAAGGTTTTCATGATAATGGATTTGTATATATCTAAATCATCTTCTCCTGCAATACCGCAACATCCGTCCGCAGAAACGTGTTCATAAGAGAAGAATTAACTCAAAAACTGAATTTAACCAAATAAATTACAAACCCATTTCCTTTTTTCACGGCTTATTATCTTAAACAATTACTCATTTGATGGATGATACCATAATTTAAACTCGGCTTGATTATTAAAAAAACAGAAAATAAAAAACAGATCGGTAGACATATGAAAATGTGATTTGTAGATAGGTGAGCTTAGTCAAACAAAATCTTTTATATATATATATATATATATATATACAAATGAAATTCAAATCCCAAAAAAACTAAAAACGTGCATGCATGGAATAAAAACAATTCAAATACCTGCATGAAAAAAAAATCAAGTTAAACTTTAGGGGGGAAAAACAGTTTTTAAGCGGGAAAGAATGACTAAAGAAGCGGGAAATGAAATAATTTTTCAAAGTTTTTCAAATAGTTTTTCTTCTCCATATTATATAGTAATAGATATGTTCACAATTAGATAACAACAAGTACAATTGCTCCAACCAGCTACACAGGTCAATCTATTAAGAGCTTTGTTGACCCCCAAGTTGTGGAACGGGCCCACAAAAGAGTATAAGACGGCCTGCGTCCAGTGAGTCGAGCTGGATTCGCAGATCAGCCATCAGACAGAAAAGAATCAAGCCGAAAGAGGCAATGAGGCCAAATTCAACAAGAACTTTAACCCGAGCTAGGCTGACAGGCCGAGCAAAAGGCAATAAAATAAATGTCACTTGCAGCCTAGTAATGAGAAAGTACATCTCTGCCAACTAATCTTTCGGCCTACAAGTTTTAGACTTATTGGCTAGCACGACGCATTAAATGAGTATGTCCAATCAATCAAATGCGAGCCGTAAAATACGATGAAAAGTGTTCGAGCTACAATTACTATAAATATCCTTGTATTAGATCTAAAAAAGGAGATGGAAAAATATACAACTCATGAAATAAATATTTTCGTAATAAATACTAGGTTAAACATTCGACCGAGCAATAACAACATTGGTCGACCTGGCCACTATTATTCCGACACATTCTTGCGTTGTTCTGCACTTCTATTCTATTTGATTCTTTTCACGACAAATATTCACATTTATCTTAACCAAACATCTTTAAATTCTATTCAAAACTCTTTTACCTCGTAGATTAAATCCGTTTATCAACAGTTTGGCGCTAGAACAAGAGCTCCATGAGTTAGTTGGAGTCAGATTTTGCTTGGTGAACACCACTACAAGACTATTTCTTTCTTTTTCCCAAAAACGGCCGGAGTACGACTCTATCCGGCGAAGACCTGAGGACTCCATAACCGCGCTTCGTAACACGATAAATTAAAATTGATAATTTTTTTCCTTAACTTCTACTAATTAGTATTAGTGGCGAGTAAGGGTCGATCCCATGAGAAGCAAGAATTAAATTGTGATAATCTCGTATTAGTTGAATTAAACTACGAAACCAATAAAAAGGGGGGCTAATTTAAAAAAAAATAAAAATAGCAAAATAAAATAAAAATCAAATAAATTAGAGAAGTTCAGTTTTCGGTTCAATTATCACCCAATCTAAATCTGCCGTTAATTAATTTTGACGTCTTCTTTAAATTGCTAACATATCACCAACCCTAGTTACAACAAACTCTGTTAACCGAATTTTCTTTTACAGTAATAGAATTTGGGAGAGGAGAGAGGTAATTGACCTCCTGGATCTTTGAGTTAGAGTTTCTTTCAGTGCTTCTCGCTGCAAGTTTTCTTACATCCCATAGGCCAGCAGCATCAGTCCGGTCCCGCAATATGTTTTCTTCCCATGGTTTGGAGGACTACTTAACCAGCTCAATTACATCGATCCTCGTCTGAGTGACGGATTTTCCTTCCAACTTGTGATGTAATAAGAGAAGGCATATAGCTGGAGGGGAATTGGTACACTCGTAAGGAACTTGATAAAACTATGAACTCCTCAAAAAGGGGACAGCAGAGGAATGCGACTATAGAAAAGACTATATTTCATTTATTAACGATCACCTCTCGAGTGAGTGGACGATTAGCGAGGACTGATTTAGAGCTAGAGTCAGCTAACATTCTTTTAATTTCACTTAATATTACTAATAGACACAAGCTTCCGTCTTGTTGGTTCGACCAAAGGCATCAGGTAAATGGCTTACTGTTCGGTCAACATTTCATGATTCGTAACGTAACAGCCGGTCGGGACTGAACTAATTTACGAGAGAAGGTTCAATGGACCTAGGGTAGTGCTTCGTATGGTATGTATGAGATGGGGGATCTTTGAAGCCTTGGTGGGGAAAATGAGTACTATGAGTTTAGGTGCTTCTCTGAGTGGCTTGTAAACATTGGCGACGGTACAATCGGTGGATCGAACAACGGTTGTGCCGATATCGACATCCCCGACGATATTCTTCTACACTCACAAGAGGATCCTATTGGTACTAGTGTTTAGAGTACCTACCCAATGTTCAGAAGTGCAGGTGACGATCTTAGCTATTTGAAGGAAAGAGCCATACTCGCCCCCACACTTGTGGTTGAGTCCGTTAACGAGTACATGAGCTCACTGAACTCATCTGAGGGAAGGACTTATTTGAGTTCGAACACCCCCTGCAAGTCAGATACTGGATATGATTCTCTTCAGGATCTTCACACTCCTGAATTTCTCAATGGGATAAAGTGCTCTGGACTTCCAAATCATAAACTGCACTTTAAGGTCGACACTCAAGTGATGCTTCTCAGAAACATTGATCACTCCATGGGGTTGTGCAATGGTACTGTTCATCAAAATTCAATCTATTATCTATATTTCCTTTTATCTTTGTACAAATTTGAGTGATATGTTTTTGTTTTCCGAATTTTGATGTCAACAGGTACACGATCGGTTATCACTAAGCTCAGCAGCCATGTCCTCGAATGCAAGTTTTTAACCGGCGCCAGAGCTGGTGACAAGGTTCTTATTCCTAGGCTCACAATCATACCATCCGATTTGAGGGTACCGTTCAAATTTCAGTGCAGACAATTTTCGCTCATGGTTTAAGATGCTATGACTATCAACAAGAGTCAAGGTCAGTCACTGTCCCACGTCGGCTTACTATTGAAGAACCTTGTAGTTAGTCATGGACAGTTGTATGTGGCACTATCTAGAGTCACAAATCGGAGAGGTCTTAATATAATAATTTGTAGTGATGGAGATTGTGACGATAGAAAAACCACGAACGTTGTATATTTTTTTTTCTCAGTAGATGTATTTCATATTAAAACACTACTTTAAATAACAACATAAATAAAAATATAATATTTTACTGTATAAAATATATATATTTTTTTTATAAAAATAATTATAATCTACCAATAATTAGGTCAGACCTACAACTAAATTTGTATCAGTATCAAGTTGAATATCAAGAGCAGCAATGATTTGTTATGATAAAAGAAGCTGAAAAAATACAGAATATTTTCCACCATTCACCAGCCAACTGCCAACATTGTGTGTACATTATTTCATCAAATCAGACTTTACTGATCACACAACAAAATGAAAAATCATTGCAGTCCCCTTTAAGCAGGAGCAAACTTAGCCAAATTAAGCAACAGCCATAATCACAACAATCCAGGAAAAAAAAGTGCTTTTCCAATTCTTAATTAATACTAGTGAAAACCTTAGCTGCCACATTAGCTAATAAGGACAAAACAAACATTACATATCCCAATTAAGTAGGGACAAGTTTCCAAAATCAGACAGCAAAAGCCAGCAAGGCAATCTACACAAGTGCTTGTCTGATTCTGAAAGCTAAAACACTTCTAGTGGAGTCACCATTTACAGATTATAAATGACACCTCAGATTTCATAACTGGGCCTCATCATGATCTTCTTCTACAATATGTGACATATTAGACTTAAGCTGTTTATTGCCCAGTAAGCTTATAATATGCATACATGGCCGAGCCAAGGAAGCCGATAAGCTGTCCCACGACATTCAACTGTACCGCATAACATCGAGTGATAATTAGTTAGTAACATGAATTTATTCATTTTGTGTTTATTTGGGCCATACATCAGTGTCTGAACTTACCAAATCAAATGGCAGTCCACCGAAAATAGCCCACCCGAGCAAAACCGTGAAGACATCCTGCAAAAACAGGGTTACGCGCGAACTAGTCGTTTTATTTTTTGGGGTAGAAAATAAACAATTTCATTTCAGCTCAAAGATGAAGAAAAATCATTAGTAAAAACAGACCTTCAAATTACCACAGACTGTCTGTGTGAGTGCTGAGTTGAGAGTTGTATTGAGAAAGACACTATAATTGATAAGGAAGGCCAGGATGCAGGACAAAAGTAATACTGCCTGGTGACAAAACTAATCGAGATTTTACGTACCAAAAATGCATAACAAAATAAAGCTCGGCGAGGAATTAAACAAATACGAAAACATCCATCTCTGAGTTATGTTAGGGAAATAACAACTTACATTAACTATAGTTGGTAAATACAAGCTAATAGCAACAATTCACATGGTTGATGTACATTACCAGAAATCCCGGAGAACGCAAATATGGAAAATTCATTATTGTCTCCAAATCACCACTTACAAAGGTCCAAACCGATAAAACGATCCCACATAAAATTCCTACACCAAAAGTAAAGGTAAAAAAAAAAAAATAAGAATACATAAATCAGAACTAAGAGAAGGTAATTACTAAGTACAAACTTATGGTCACTCACTCACTCACTTACTCACCATTGCACCACATAAGGCCAAAGCTATTGAGTCCACTAGATTTCCCTGTGGAAAAATAAAGTACCAGCAAGAGTTTGATCGAGGCTAATGAAGTTGCGTGAAAAAAAATGCAGCGAATTGAATTAAATAGCGAAAAAATACCTATTCGGGCTATGGTTGTTAGGTACACAGATGTTGTGATGTTGGACATGAAAACAACTATATAACCATAGGAGTCGAATGAAAAGTCTCGCGATCCCGCAACAAAAGCACCCAACATAATTAACACCACACTAGCGAAAAAAACACACAAACACTTAAAATTGTTCGTCAACCAAATTATATTAAATGACAGATACAAAAAAAAAATGGAACAAAGAATAGGCTTTACCTTCCAAGAATACAACGTGTATACCTCTGCCTCACGAGAACATACTCGAGCATCATTGTGAGTATGATTGTAGTTCTTCTTAAGGCTGTATACATGGGAACATTCACACTCCTAACAGATTCCATACTCGCTAGCTTCATTGTTAAGAAGTCGAGAGAATTAAAGTTCGAAAAATCAGGCTTGTCTTACAAGTTATTACAACACGAAAAAAAATGTAAAATATAAAATCCACCGGGGGGAAATCTATTTATTTACCATGTAAAGCAAATAGGTTAAGGAAATAGGTGCAGTGGTGAAGAATGTCCTAATCGGAACATATGCTGATTTGGAAGTCTCGGATTCGTTGGTGGTAAAAGAAATGAGGTTTAGACTTCGTAGCATGTAAAGAAAGCAACACGAACATATCATCTGCAAAAAGGTGTATGAAACCATTAATATATAATGAGATTTTTTTCAGATCATTGAAAATGCAAAAGATGCAATTTAATTGGTATTTCACCTGGCACAGGGTGATGACGTTGGCACAGGGGAAACTGTATGAAGAAAGAGCAGCTTTATTGAACATCATCAAGAGGACTGCAAAAAAGAGAGAAGTAATTAAGTTTGATAAATGATGATGAGATTGAGAAGATTATTCGCTTTTCGGCATTATAAAATTCAAAGTGAAGCACAGTTAGCGTTGGACTAAAACAAAAACAGAACATGTAAGATCATGCCAGCCAAACCAAAGTAATCTCTTATACATAAAGTTTGTTGAGTGCAGTCTTTAAAGCAATTTACAAGAGAAAGATCCGGTGTATAGTAGCATACAATGATCACTGCATGATAATTTAAGTTTGCCATTAAAGGCAAAAAAAAAATAAAAAATGAAAAAAGCAAAAAAAGCAATCTTTTTCTTACCATACACTACACAAGAAAGAGTCCAAAACCTCTAAGAGTTCACTAAATTCAACATAAATCAGTAGAAGAGAGCTCTACATGATCAATAATCAAATCCCAAAAATCAGCTACAAAAGGAAAATAAGAGAGAAAACAAACAAAAAAAAAAAATGAAAAAGATAAAAAGACCATCTCAAGTTGACCACATCCTTCGAAAACCAAAAGCCCGAACTTGCTCGAACTTAATATTTTCTTGAGCCAAAAACATCCTTAAAAAAACATCAAATCAAGAACCCTGAAAACTTTTAAATGACAATAAACGAAATAAAAGCAAACAAGCTCAGTATATAATAGTCAAATACCAGCACAAGCCATGTAAAAGATGGCAGCCAAAGCTCCGGCTTTTGTCATGGCGGAGCTTTTGAAGAACTCCGGCGAAGGATCCCTCGACAACACCATTGGCAGAACAGAACCTCTCTTCAAAGTTTGTGCCATTATAATTTACATGGAAGCACGCTTTTTCGTTTTTTCTTTGAAATTATGATTCTTGAATATTGGCAACGGGTAAAAAGCAGAACTTTTAACACTTTTGACACTTGCATGTTTCACTGAGCGACCAGTCTCCACACCGTTATTTTATAGCAAAGGCAAATCCTTTTTTAGTAGTACTCAAGTAAAATATTTTTATGATTTTTAGATTACGTGTACATAAATTATGTTTATAATTTTATATATATACGTGATTGTTTGATTCAATTTTTTATACTATTATTAATTAATCGTAAAAAAATTATATTGCATAATAAGTTGTGTCAAATAGTAAAATTCAAATTTCAATCTACCATTCAATATAATTGATTTGCTCTATCAAGTATTGATAGTAACAATCATTTTTTAGTTTCAATTTAATTATATTATTTTTATATTTAATCATTATCTCTCATATTTATTCAAAATTTCAAATCTACTTTATTTTTTTGTAAACACCTTTTTTTTTTTCACTTTCTCATCTCAGACATTTTTGTTGTGGAAAAACCTTATGAGTTATGTCACTGAACATTCCATTGTTTTCTAATGTTACGCATATTGATTTTACAATGAAAAATAGGTGAATAATCTACTTTTAATATTTAGTTATTTGATAAAATAATGAAGCATCCAGTTAAAGCACAATTTGTCTAAAATTGAATGTTGATCAAGTTAAAGCACAATGCATTCTTCTTTTCTTTGAAATTATGATTTTTGAATATTGGCAACGGGTAAAAAGCAGAGTTTTTAACTTTTGACACTTGCATGTTCCCACTGGGCGACCAGTCTCCACTCTGTTAGTTTATTAGCAAAGGCAAGTCTTTTTTAGTAGTACTAGTAAACTGCACCGAGGAATATTTTTTTTGATTTCAAATTATGTGTATATAAATACTGTTTATGGAATATTATTTTATGGTTTTAAATTATGTGTATGCAAATTACGTTTATATATATACATGGTTCATTCATTTTTTTATATTATTATTATAAATTAAATATTAAAAATTACTTGTACAAAAAAAATAAAAAAAATTATATTGCATAATGAATTGTGTCAAATAATAAAATCTAGTCTATGATTCAATATAATTAAAGGTAAGGCTACAGTCCGGTTATGGAAACATTTAGTTGGGATTTGTAACCGTTAGATGCACAATAATTAAAGGTAAGGCTACAGTCCCGTCATGAAAACATTTAGTTGGGATTTGTAACCGTTATTGTAGTATTTTCCATAATTAAATTGCTTTATTGATGGAATGGGTTCGTAACAATCATTTTAGTTTCAATTTAAATTAATACTAGTACAACACCCATGTATTACATGGGTGGGGACGGTGCATCATCCCTGACCGTTCATGGACCGATTCATAAAAGTGGGATCGTATCCGGACAAGTCAAATCTAGGACCGTCCCGGACCGCGTCCACCCCTACCATAAATAATCAACATATTTATAAATAATCCGAACCTAATGACATGATTGGTATGAACGAATGACATGAGAATGGAATGATCATTCCCTTACTCATTCCTTATCACATGATTGTATAATTTTTGGGAAAGAATGACCATTCCAATGGGAATGGCAAAACCCATCTCCATAGGATTAGACATTCCATAGTAAATGAAAGGTTTTCTCATTCCCATGTGTGTAGGAATCAATTTTTTAAAAAATAAAATTAACAAATAATAATAAAAAATAAATATATAATATATATAATAAATCATGATTAAAAAAAATTAAATAAAATTATTTTTAAAAATTCAAATAAAAAAATTGAAAACTTACTTTTATTTATTTTTTAATTAGACATATTAAATACTTATATAAAATTAAAACTAAAAAAGCATTTATATATAATTTAAAAATATATTATTTGATTTTTATATATTATTAAAAATATATTTTTTTATATATTAAAAATATATTATTGAAAAATATTAAAAATATATATTATTAAAAATATATTATTTTAAAAAATAAAATTCAAATAAAAATTTGAAAACTTATTTTTATTTACTGTTTAATTAAAAAATAAAATATATATTATTAAAAATATATTACTTTTTATTTTTAAATATTATTAAAAATATATTATTTTTTATATATTAAAAATATATTACTTTTAAGAATATATTATTTTTTATATATAATATATATTATTTTATTTTTATATATTATTAAAAATATATTATTAAACAATATATTATTCTATTAAAGTATATTATTTTTTTTTTAAAAAAGCTTTTATTTATTTTTATAATTAAAAATAATAATTTCATTCCATTCCAGTTCTATTCCTTCTGCATACCAAAACGCATCAATAACAAAACATGTTTCATTTCATTATTCAATTCATTTCATTCCTACGAAATTCCATTCCATCATACTAATCATGTCATAAATATTTTTAAATTAGAAGTAAATTAAACTAATAACGAAGCATGTAATTTTGGCACATAGGATCCCGAAACATACGAGTTTGCCACATAGTTGAGCATGTTCTGAATTAATATATTAATTAATATATAAGGGGGATTGAATGATAGACAGAATTTTACATTTTGACACAATGCAACATAAATTTTTTTATAATTTTACCTCTCCTAGCCTAGAAAAAACCGCCGGAGACGGCGAAACCCAGCTGCCGGAAGCCATAATTCTGCAGATACAGTCCTTCCTCGACGGAAAGGAGATTGCGCAGACCAGCGTCCTATCCAAATCACGGTACGACGCCTGGTACACCCACCCGAATCTGGATCTCGACTAGCGTCACTTCTCCAATCCCCGCAGTAATGTCGTCGGCCCGGCGGACGCGTTCGCAGAGTACTCTCGGCGAAAGATGTGGAGGTACGAAGCCATCGGCCGGAAGATGGAGAGCTTGAGCCTGTGGATGGGCGGCTCGCAAGCGGCCGGCTGAGGGTTGAATCGGTCTCTTGCCCGTGGGTTGATTGTGAAAGCTCTGGAGATGGGCGCCACCGTTCTTCATCTGGAAATCTCTGGTGGAGGGGCGCCGCTTCTGTTACCGCCTGAGGTGTTTGGATCCGAAACCCTTTACAGCTTATATATGGTGAATTGCGAAATCGATCGAGGGGTTGAAGGAAAGGTGAGCTTCTCTTCACTTAAATCTCTCAATTTATCCAAGGTGTTGGTTGAAGGTGATACGATTTGGGATATAATCAGGAGCTGCCCACTGATTGAGCAGTTGATACTGTCCGAATGCGCGTGTTTGGAATATCAGAAGGGAAGTCGTGGAAAAACTATCAATTTCATGCTGTTTTGGGCCGCTGATTTACAGGCAGACCTATCCGTACCAGTTTCGTGGCCTCATGCGCTTGTATTTGGAGATGGTTGATATTGGTAAGTCGTTTTTCAGCCAATTCTCGAACAAATTCCCTTTTCTACAAATTCCCTTTTCTCGGATTTAATGGTTCATCACTGCATCTGGGACAAGCAAACGCATATTTCGAGCCCTGACACTTGAGCGCGCGAGCTGGGCCGATAAGAATGAGTTTTTGGCCAAGTTTGATGTCCCACGGCTTCGTAAGTTTAGGTTTTCGCTTTGTGCTTGCCTGCCCTGACATTTCAGAAAACTTCAAGTGAATAGGAATCTGAAATATCCGTATGGTGAGCCCGAGAATTTCTCTATCTTTCAATATCAGGCTTATATCACAGTAGAACTTTGAGTTTGTGGGGGATATGGAAGGTTCGCGTAGGCCTGTGGTGGAGAAACTGAATTTGATGCTGCTGATGATGGATGCCCGGTCTTCAATTTGTTCCTAACTCTTGGATTAAAGTGAATGTGAAAAATGATTTATTGGCAATACTTCTCAAGAGTTTGGTGCAGGTGAGTAAATATCGTTTTGTTCCCAACCGTAGTATGTTTGGCCAGTGTGATTGGCTTTTGAGGAGACTCTTGCAGAGTAGAGACTCGAACATCTGCCTCCATTTGGGGTGGGCGCAAACCAACAGCCAAGTTAAATAAATAGCCTTTTTTGTGTTTTCATGTTATTCGATGATATATTGTTAAGTGTGGGGATTTGCAATCTTTGTGTGTGTGTGTGTGTGTGTGTGTGTGTGTCAGTGCTGTTACTGTTGTAATTCGGGGAATCAATATTGTAATTCGAATAAATGTTGCTGTAGTCGAGTATGATCTGTCGAAATAAGAAGGATTTGGTTCTTTAAGCAGCTTACTGTATTTCTGAAATTAATTTTATGAGATGTATGTTCAGCTGAAATGGTTATTAGGTGCATTTGTATTTTGAGCTTTGGCATGAAGAACTGTTGCTCTTGCATTGATCAGCTGTTTGAATTAAAGTTTTTTCTTGGGAGCTTGTTCCTTGTTCAATCAATCTTAGAAAATTGATTAACCAAATTACCACATTACAGTACCATCTTAAATATACAGATCATCAACATTCCATATCTTACACAGACAGTCAGCCTACACATGATCCAATAAAATAAAGTAAATCAAATGATGTTACAGTTACTATAAAGGGCTGAAATAGAAACTGAATAATGAGAACCATCATGAACAGAAATGGAATATATTATATATACACACTGAACAACACAAAGCTTTTATCAGTTTAAGAATGACAAAATATAAAAAAACCAAACGAACTAATTATGCCACCATTTCGCTGACTAACTACCGGCAATCAATGGGGCCGTCGAAGACTGATCCTGCCAGAAAAAGCGGACGATATCGTCTGCAGGAAGATCAAAATCGAACAAGTCCAACAACTCCTTCTCGAAACTAGGATCATCATCACACAAGGGCTCACCAATACCATCCATTTTGCTGACCAATCCATTTTCTTCACAATTATCGTGATCCATCATACTCTCCTCCAGCTCGTGGATCCAATCATCATCAACCAGTGGGAACGCGCCACCTGGACTCAAATCACCCTTGATGACGTCATCATGATGATTGCCCATAATAATACTCTCCTCTAGCTCACGTATCCAATCCTCATCTGTCTCTACTTCTTTCGGGCCCACATGTCCAAAATCAGCAATAGGAGCCTCAACGCCGCATGAATAAGAACAAGAACACTCCACGCCAGAATCACCCAATCCGCTCCCGACACGTGGCTTAACAACAATCTTGGTTTTCTTCTTCTTGAGAACACACAGCGCGAAATTCTTGTACTCTTCTTTGATGCCGTCGTTCTTGATGGCGGCATCGGGAAGCACATATTCTGTCATCAGCCACGAACCCTTCTTGTCCGAATTACTCGCTTTTGTCTGGTAGCGGAAAGTTCTCCGGTAACCAATGATCACCCGACGGTCGGCAGAAAGAATCGGAGTGGCCTGCCCTTTGTTCGTCCACGTGCCCTTTCCCACTGTTGGAATTGAGGTTGTACGTTGCGCATATGCATGGAGTATGAAGTGCTGGCACGTTTTCTCCACGTCCTTTTCTTTATTTTTTTGTTTTCTTATTTTAGTACTAAACGATGTCGTTTTATCCTTTAGCTGTTAGGGTTCAATACGGCGTCGTGCTACTTAACCAAAGCGGTGTCGTTTTACATTGTCTTCTTCATTTTTGTCGTGTTGCATGAATATATAGGTGTACTGTACGTTCTGTAATTTTCTGATTTTGGATGTTGAATGAAAAGGTGTTGGTGAAACTCAAAATATCTTCTCCATAGTTAATTTGGATTTCTACATGGTATCAGAGCAATTCGATTCGGTTCTGGGAGCTTCAAGGCGTTTTTGAGCTTGATCTACTTCTGAACATCAATGGCGACCAGACGTGAAGGTGCATTTAATGTTGGCGGTGGATCCAACATACGGCAGGCAGCAACCTCGAGCAACGATCCGCTCTTCCTACACGGATCAGATCATACTGGAATGGTGTTGGTTTCGCACCAGCTGACTGGTAAGAACTTTCTTTCATGGAGAAGATCGATGACTATAGCCCTGGGTGCAAAAAGAAAACTAGGTTTCATTAATGGTGAAATAGCCCAACCTAATGACGATAGTGATGAGTATGATGAATGGAAAAAGGTCGACTGGACTGTTTTGTCATGGATTCTAAACTCACTGTCAAAGGAGATTGCTGAATCTGTAATATATGCTGAAACATCCAAGGAGCTTTGGGATGACATTTGTCAAAGATATGGAGAGAGTAATGGTCCTATGCGTTATAAGCTACAGCGAGAAATAAACACTCTAACTCAGGGAAGTAACTCGGTGATGGAATATTTCAATAGGTTGAAGAAGCTATGGGATGAGTTTGCTTGTGTGGTTCCTAATCATACCTGCAACTGTCCTAAAGGATTATTGGCAGCTCAACTCGAAGCTGAAAATAAACTGATCCAATTTCTCATGGGTTTAAATGATAGTTATGAGCACTTGAAGAACCAAATAATGTTGTCTGATCCATTGCCAAGTGTTAATAAGGCATATTCAATGTTGCTCTCAGCTGAAAGACAAAGATCTGTGACAAATAGCCTAGACAAAATGGAAAATATGGCTATGAATGTGAAGTATGAAGGATATGGTAGGGGACAAACAGGACAAGGAAGAGGATATGGTGGAAGAGGTAATAACTGGCAAAGTGGTAGAGGGAGAGCTGGTGTTAGACTGAGCAGAGAGGAAAGGGCAAAATTGTTATGTGACAAATGTGGAATGCATGGGCACACAATAGCCACATGCTTTAAAATTCATGGAGTACCAGAGTGGTACAAAGAGCTGAAGGTGCAACAAACTAAACCATATGCTGGTAGTGTGGAAACCTATGAGGATGAAGGACAGTGGGAAGAGCAAAGACTTGAAAGGAAAGGCTCAGCAGAAAGTGAGCTATCAATGGTGGTAAAACAGCTACAGGAAATTAGCCAGTACATCAAAGGGAAAGAAGGCATGGATGGAAAGATTGACTATGCTCAGATGGCATGCTTCAAGAACAAAAGGGAGGAGGATGGAGTTCATTTTGCCTTGACAATAGCAGAGAGTTTGAATAGTGGTGAATGGATTATAGACACTGGGGCTAGTAGACATATGTGTGGAGATCTTAGTGTAATGAAGGATGTTTTCATGCTAAAGGAACCTATCTCAGTGTGCTTACCAGATGGCTCATATAAGAAGGTTAATACTGGTGGAGTGGTTGCAGTAACCAATGATCTCACTTTGAAAGGAGTTCTGTATGTTCCAGGCTTCAAATACAATCTTCTCTCAGTGAATCAACTTTGTCTTGATGAAAAGGTGAAGTGCTCCTTCTCTTCCACTGCATGTTTGCTGGAGAATTGTAATAGTGGAGAGATAGTTGGTGAAGGAACATCAAAAGGAAATTTATATATTCTGCGAAGGGACAGTGTGACTAAGTGCAAGGAGACTCCTCTAGAATGTAATTTTTCTCTAGCAATGTGGCATAAGTGCCTTGGTCATGCTAGCTACAGCACAATGCAACATCTGCCTTTCCTCAAAGGGAAATTTACAGATTTGGAGAGCAAAGCGGTTCAATCATGTGAGGTATGTTTTAAAGCAAAGCAACATAGACTTCCCTTTCAAAGTACTCATATACATGCCAATAAGTGTTTTGAGCTGTTTCATGTGGACATTTGGGGACCTTGCAAAGATGAGTCATTTACAGCTACACCATTCTTTTTAACAGTGGTTGATGATTTTAGTAGGGCAGTATGGATTTTCCTCATGTCTCATAAGTCACAAGCAGCAAAGTTACTTAGTGAGTTCATACTGATGACAGAAACACAATTTGAGACAAGGGTTAAGAAAATTAAATCCGACAATGGACAAGAATTTTTAAGCAAGGAGCTACAGAACTTCTTCAAGCAAAAGGGCATCGTTCATGAAACAAGTTGTCCTTACACACCACAGCAAAATGGTGTAGTAGAAAGGAAACATAGACAGTTACTTGAAATTGGAAGGGCTTTGATGTTTCAAGGGAAGTTACCTCTGAAGTTCTGGCCATATTCAGTTCAAGCAGCAGCTTTTATCATCAATAGATTGCCCAGTGCAGTGTTGAATTGGAAAACACCATTTGAAAAGGTTTATAACAAACAGCCAGACTACACAAGGTTAAGACCTTTTGGGTGCTTGGCTTATGCTGCAAAAGTTCATCCTTTGAAATCAAAATATGCACCAAGGAGAAGTAAGTGTATTCACTTGGGCAGTGCTGTAGGGCACAAAGGGTATCAGTTATATGATGTTGACAGTGGTGAAGTTTTCATAGCAAGAGATGTGGTGTTCTTTGATGATGTGTTTCCTTCCATCACACAACCCACAGATGACATAGTGTTACCACAACTTGTTGAAGAGCCTGCAGAGATTGAAGTGCCCCATATAGAAACAGTGCATACTCCAACTGAGGTGCCAAATGATACACAAATGAGAAGAAGTCACAGAAACAGAAATGCACCTCAGTGGCATAATGATTATGTTTTGAGAGATACCTCAGCACAGTTCACTAGAATTGAACCCCTACCTCACAATGAGTTTATTGCAAATATCTACACTGAAAAGGAGCCATCACACTACAAACAAGCTGCCTTGCACCCTTCTTGGATAGAAGCCATGCAAAAGGAATTAGATGCACTTGAAAGTAATCACACTTGGGAACTTACTGATTTACCACCTGGAAAGAAAGCTATTGGCTGCAAATGGGTGTTCAAAATAAAAAGAAAGGCTGATGGTACAGTTGAGAGGTTTAAGGCTCGGTTGGTTGCTAAAGGGTATAATCAAATCGAGGGGGTGAACTATTTTGACATCTTCTCACCAGTAGCAAGACTGGTCACAGTGAGATTTCTTATAGCAATGGCTGTTCATAAGAGATGGGACCTACATCAGTTGGATGTTAATAATGCCTTCCTCCATGGCACATTATCAGAGGAAGTTTTTATGCAGCCACCTCAAGGTTATGATAAAGCTAGGCCGGGACAGGTCTGTAGGCTAGTTAAGAGCCTTTATGGACTCAAACAAGCATCAAGAGAGTGGAACCTTGAGCTCTGCAGGAAATTATCACAATTTGGTCTACTTCAGTCCTCATATGATCACTGTCTCTTCACACTGACTAAAGAAACTGAGTTCTTGGCTCTTTTGGTTTATGTGGATGATGTTCTAGTCACTGGTTCATCAGCTTCTCTCATTCATCAATTAAAGCTTTTCTTGGATAATCAGTTTACAATCAAGGATTTAGGGATTGCTAAGTTTTTCTTGGGAATTGAGTTGAACTATTCTGACAAAGGTGTGTTGCTATGTCAGAGGAAGTACATCTTAGACATACTCAGTGATTTGAACATGCTCAACTGTACAGCAGCCCCTACTCCTTTCCCACTTGGCATTCACTTAGACTCACAGAGTGGCAATCCATTAGAGCAACCTGATACTTACAGAAGACTCATTGGAAGGTTGCTCTATCTTGGGCTTACCAGACCTGATGTCACTTATGGGGTTCAACAACTCAGTCAGTTTGTTAACAACCCACATGATCCTCATTGGCAAGCAGCTCTTCACATTCTGCGGTACTTGAAAGGGTCATCTTCCTTGGGTTTATTTTATTCTAACAGTGCCTCTTCTTTCACACTGGTGGCTTATTGCGATGCTGATTGGGCCACTTGTAAAGACACTAGGAGGTCGGTTACTGGCTTTTGCATCTTTCTTGGAGATTCCCTTATTTCCTGGAAGAGCAAGAAGCAACACACGGTCTCTAAGTCCTCGGCCGAAGCTGAATACAGAGCAATGGGGTCCACTGTTTCAGAACTCATTTGGCTGCACTACCTTGCCCAGGAACTTCTTGTCTGTTTGCTTTTTCCTATTCCTTTATGGTGTGACAATCACGCAGCCATGCACATCACGGCTAATCCCGTCTTTCATGAACGTACCAAGCATCTCGAGATCGATTGTCACATTGTTCGGGACAAGTACAAACAAGGGTTCATCTCTCCTCTCTATGTGGCTTCTATGCATCAACTTGCTGATTTGTTCACCAAAGTTATCGCTGGTTCGCGCTTTTCTGCTCTTGTGTCCAAGCTGGGCATGCTGCCTGTGCACCATAGCCCATCTTGAGGGGCGGGTGTTGGAATTGAGGTTGTACGTTGCGCATATGCATGGAGTATGAAGTGCTGGCACGTTTTCTCCACGTCCTTTTCTTTATTTTTTTGTTTTCTTATTTTAGTACTAAACGATGTCGTTTTATCCTTTAGCTGTTAGGGTTCAATACGGCGTCGTGCTACTTAACCAAAGCGGTGTCGTTTTACATTGTCTTCTTCATTTTTGTCGTGTTGCATGAATATATAGGTGTACTGTACGTTCTGTAATTTTCTGATTTTGGATGTTGAATGAAAAGGTGTTGGTGAAACTCAAAATATCTTCTCCATAGTTAATTTGGATTTCTACACCCACGTTCCGGGAAAACCGGTGGCCGCCGGCGGTCTTTTTGGTGAGACTGCTGTAGAAGTAGCGCCGCGTTGTGCGATCGTCGTCCCCGAAAATCTCGCACGGTTCCCTGTGGCCGTACAGATTGTCGGTCTTGATCAGCCCGTCGTCTCCAGCGAGGCCCGTGATTCTTTTGAGAAGGAACGTGATGATTTCGAGGTCTGTTGGTTCGAAGTGAACGCCGTACGCCGCCATTATCTCTGCCTGTTTTTTCTCAGATAGGTGTTTGCCAGGTTTTACGTTGGATCGATCACAACATGACAATAGTCTGTATATATATATGTGTGTATCGGATTTTAACTAAGGTTGGTATTTTTTAAATGGGCCTTACCTAATCTAATGGCCCAATCTCAAACTGCTAAATTAACCGGTTGAAAGACGTATACACGTCGCTAACTTGCACCATTTCCTTAATAACGAGCTAAAAACTTTAATCCCAAAATTGTGCTATACATAAAATTCCTACTACAAGACTAGAGAATCTGCATAAAATGGAAATAACAATCGCAGCTGCAATCCTGTAATATATCTGCCGGAATCAACATGCTATATCAAAAAAAAAAACATAGAATTAAATAATTAATATGGGCATGAACTATTAGACAACATGTGATAAAATTTTTGTTTTTTAAATGAGGTTTATTGTTCAACTTAAAAAATAATTAGACAACATGTGATAAAATTTTCATTTTTTAAATGAGGTTTATTGTTCAACTTAAAAAATAATTAGACAACAGGTGATAAAATTTTCGTTTTTTAAATGAGGTTTTTTGTTCAACTTAAAAAATAATCTTTTTATAAACATTCATTGGTAAACTTAGACATATAACAAGTTTACTCAATACCATATTTGTATGAAAAATAACCAAAAAACTACCCATTGCGTTTTGCATATTGAAAAAATGAACATATATAATTTGGATATTACATGAACTTCAAATATACATATATGGTTACACAGACAAGAATAAACATATGAAAAAAATAAACCTTATATATACATTAACTCCAACCTGATAGAGTAATACATTAACTCCGATCTGTTGCTATAGTAAACGATCTTATCCTTGCCCTCAACATTTATAGAAACATTCTTCTTATAGCCGTTCCTTTTGAGCACTAGAACGAGTTGTAGGTCGTCTCACCATCGAGTGTGCTTCAACAAGTTTAAGTGAGTTTCCGATGCCTTCATTTCGTATCTTTTTTGTTCCACAAACTTTATTTTTTTCCCCGAAATCGGTTTTCTCTGCACAAGTTTTTTACTTCCATTGTATTCAACACTAGGGCCAACCTTTTTTTTCGATTATGCATCACGATAGCTCCGCCTTCAAACGATAACATAATCCTTCTCCTTCGTTTTGGCCATATCAGAGAGAATTTTGCGAAAAGCTGAATAGTGTCTTTGAAAAATGGGGTTTAATGAACTTTGTGCCAAATTACAAGACTTCGATTGTTTTGAGAATTGAGATCTTAAGAGCACCGTTCGGCTACATGTCCCACCAATGATATTGTTGCCTTTTTTATTCATTTAATGCTTTAATTAATTGATCAATCACATTAAATGCTTTAAATGCTAATTGAGAGGTCAAATATCACTTTTCTGGAATTGTATAAAAATTGTTCTCGTACTATTGTATTGAATATCGTTAATGGGGAATAAGAAAATTAATATTCGTTAATTAGGCGTTAAGGTGGATTGAAGACGTGCAGGGGGTAATTTGTTCAAATTAACCCTAGCACGACATAGTTCAATCTATGTAACAGTAGTTTGGGTAAATTCGACATTGACCTGGTCGACCCAGACATCGATCGGTCGGGTCAACCTAATTTGGTCCGACCATCATATTTTTTTCAATTTTATTTATTATAAATAAAAATAATATGTATAAACACACACTATAATGTCTCCTGCCTTTGTGTGCACAATTAGACCCAATTTATTCTATAATTACCACTTTTATTATAATTATTAAAAGGTGTACACTATCTTATTATCTAATCATTTTTGTTATTATAATTCCTAAAGCTAAGACATGTTTATTTAATTTTAAAATAATAAAATGTACACCACTGTATTTTCTCTCATATTTTTATTATTATAATTATTAAATTTAAGACAAACTTATTTATAAAAAGAATATACTCTATTGTACAAGTTTATAAAGTATTTAATTTTGTGGAAATAGTGTATTAGTGAATAGCGCCGTATATTTCGTAAATGAAATATTCGTCTCTAATATTTATTTACTATTTAATGTATGCTGCAAAGAAGACTAATGTAGAGAATATATTTTTTGTTGTAAAATAAATGTTAAAAATTTAGATGACGCATTTACCAAATAAAATAGTACAATAAATATGCCAAATGAAAACTATGGGGGTGTATTCATTTGGAATTTTGAATGATATTATGAAATTTTTAAGGATTTGATATTTTCTAAGATATTCAGATTTATGAGGAATACTATGAAATTTTAATTATGGAGTGAGATTTTTTATATAGTTTTTCTTTTCAAATATAAGCAACTCTTAAAAAGTTCAAACAATTTCAGTCTCAAATAAGTTAACTACCTCACTATTTTGTATAATTTTAAAACGTCAAATGTATACCTCAAGACTTTTAATAGTCTTAAAATATCTTTAAAAATCTAAATTTAATACACTATAAATTTCTAAAATATCAAAAAGTCTTTAGAATTTTCAAACCAATACACCCCCTAAATTCTCTATCAAGTGTAAAATTGTAGTCCTGCCTAGGAAAAACGCAGTAAAGTCCAAGCACTCGATGGTGTCATTAGTTCTGCTTCATCATTATGGGGAAATTAATATCAGTAACAAAAAAATCACAACTAAGACGACAATGTAAATTTAAAGACATTAGTACTTGTAGGACTATTAATAACGATTGAATCAGACTTCAGAATTTCTGGACTTTTTAATATCGGATGAATCCTGATTAGTTTCAATAAATATCTAGGGGTCGGAGAAGCAGAAAATTCAGGTAGAGGTCAAAGAGGAAGACGTAGGAGTCATGTATTTGCCGGAAAATCGATCGATTTCGCTAGAAGTGCCATAATTTGGAAAAAGGGAAAATCAAAAAGGAAAATTTAGGCTTTTTGCGGAGAAGAAGAGGAGGAGGAGGAGTGTCGTGGCCGGTGAATTCGAGGAAGAACCAAAAAGAAAAACAAAATTAAGCATACAAAAACAAAGGCAAAAATCAGAGAACGAGGTCTGAAAATCGGTGAATTACGGTGGAGCACACGAGATTGAGGGCAAGATTGAGAGTTTGATTGTAGAAATAGAGAGTAAATATTGCTACATGAAATTTTGCAGAGGTGAAATACAGAAAATTTTAAGTCTTCTGGGTTATTTATAGGCAGAGAAGCAGGTGGGTAGATCGACCCTAGCCATTGGATCGCGATCGATATCAACGATCGAGATTTGGCGAGCAAGTTGGAAAGGCAGTTCGGGTACAGTAGGACCAGGTTAAAATCAACGGTCACGATTGAAAAGGACAAAGTTGAAAGGACAAGTCGTGGGATGCCGTTGGATTGTGGGTAATATTAATGGCGGTGATTTAGCAAACCAGTTAAAAGGGCAGTGATAAGTCAACCGTTGGATTAAAGGTGAATCGATTGTCATGCCAACGTTCAACTTGATTATTGTTGATCGGTCTCTCTAGAAAATAAAAAATTTATCCAAAATTATGGATGACTTCATAATAAAGTCTCCAGCAAGAGGCATAACAATCAATATGCTATTTATATGCAAATCAAACTCTTACCTTTAGAGGCATACGCAGCTTTCATGAAAACCAAGGACCAATGTTTTTTAATATAAAGTGGGTAGCTTCTCAAAACCTACTAAAAAAAATGAATACATCGTGATGGCTACCAAGACAATTATTTATGACTCTAATATAAATAAAACAGAATAATTAACTTTCTCACCTACTTCGTAAGGTTATTGACTAAGTGTCTAAAACAATAAGCATGATGACTGCCGAGATGAACTGGCTGATTGGACCTAAGTTTCACAAAGAGCATTCGAAAAGCAAATGGTACACGCACAGCCTGAGATGAACTAACTTCATGTAGATAAAGGTAGATAATAGTGATGCCAAACTACTAAAAATTCTACAACAAACTCAGATTTGAAGACAATGGGAACTATATATGGTCACACACCCAAGGCAGTTCAAGCAGGTTTTGTAGGGATTTATTGTACAACCCACACAAGGATTCACATATATCTTTGAAAATCAAGGCAGGCATTTAACTCATGAAAATACAACTCCCGCTGCTTGCTGGTTTTGGGGCGGTCAACTGATTTAACAACCTACAGCTCGATTGGAAAACATCTCCATGAGATAGGGTTTTTTTTTTTTTTTTTTTTTTTCTTTTTATTGGTTTTTTAATTGTCGTTGTGTGGTGTTTAGGCTAAAGTATAGTAGTTAGTAGCTGTTTGTGCAGCATTTGGGAAAGTGGTCGGGAGAAAGTATCTATATCCCCTGATGTATTAATTTCAGAAGAAGAAAAAAGAAGAACCCATATCATATAGCTGCCTTTAGGTGGTTTTTATGTGATTGGTCTAGCAAGTGTTGTAAAATTACGTGAGCCCTCGTTTTAGACAGCTGATCGGGCAGGACTAACTTATTTGAGGGGAAATGGCAGCGGGTGAAAAATTGGAGCTGAGCGGGAGTTGTATTTTCATGAGTTAAATGCCTGCTCAGGGCCGTCTCCAGAAATTTGGAGGCCCTAGACAAGTTTGTCCTTTCGAATTTCCCGATTTGAACTTGCGTGGTAATTAGGCTTTTTGCAGATAAAATCATAAAAGAAAAAACCTAATTAAAAAAGACTATTAAATAAATAAATAAATATTTGAAAAAAAAATTATTTTTCTAGACTTTGGAATTGATAAATTATCTATGGGTTACAAAGATCTTTAATAATTTACATTCATGTAGTCTAGAACAACAAGGAGAAGAAAATAAAAACTATATCACTGCAAAACATATTTATTATCACACGATTGTTCTAACCGAACATCATAAGAAAATAAATGAAACATTTAGGGCTTCAAATTTTCACACAAAGTATATATATTTTGTCATTAAGTCATTCATTAATTAGCCCCTTCATTCGTATAACGGGCCAAACTCATCACAAATACATAACATTTAAAAAAATGGGGCCTTAAATATATGGGGAGGCCCTAGGCATGAGCCTAGGCTGCCTCCCCAAGAAGCCGGCCCTGTGCCTGCCTTGATTTTCAAAGATATATGTGAATCCTTGTGTGGGTTGTACAATAAACCCTTACAAAACCTGCTTGAACTGCCCCGGGTTTGCGACCGTATATAGTTCCCATTGTCTTCAAATTTGAGTTTGTTGTAGAATTTGTAGTAGTTTGGAGTTTGTTTACAATCTGTTCATCACTATTATCTACCTTTATCTACATGAAGTTAGTTCATCTCAGGCTGTGCATGTACCATTTGCTTTTTGAATACTCTTTGTGAAACTTAGGTCCAATAAGCATGATGATCCGGTTCGGTTTTCAAAACATTGAAAAATAATACTTTAGGCGGGAAACCAAATATTTTTTTTATTGCTATTTCAAGAAAATATCATTGTCTCTTTATATATTAATAGATTTTGGCCAAGTAGCATTCTTACCAACTTATAATTTTCTCACATATTTCTCTCATAAATTATGATTTACAAATCACTTTTTGCACTGTCTATTCTTTTTTTTTTTTTATCATCAATTAGTCCATCAAAATTTCTAAAAATATTTTTTCTGGCAATAATTTTTATCATATATTTTTTAACTCAACATCCGTATGGTATAGTACACGAGAATTATACTAGTACTAGATTAAAATAAGACGAATGACCTCTCCACAAAGCTCATTTCGAAGTTGAAAGTTAGGGATTTTCAGTGGGAAAAGCCCCACGTAATGTCATCTAGTTTATTTTTTTATTTTTTATTTTTACACGCTGTATGAATATACATTTGTTATCTTTTTCACGACGATTATAATTCGACAGTCAAAAGAATTGATTTTTCCAACTAAACTCAATAAGTCCACATTTCTTGATTTTTAAAAGAACAGATTTTTTCCATGCCATACTCGTTTTCGTGTTTCGTGATTTTTATGTAGATTTCTTATTAAAAATAATTTTCCCTACAATTCCACCCTATTTTCAAGCTTAGATTCTCGCAATTCGGACGTGTTCTCATAAGTGTGATTTGAATATCAACGCGTTTTTTTGACCTCGAAGCCCGGGAAAAGGGATCTCATGTTTTCATGGCCAAATATCTGCAAGATACGCTAAGATTCTAACGCCATCATCCAAAAGAAGGTCAGAGTGAAGAAAGTTGTTTTGGCAGCTTGTGCCGTCCCAACATGTAAATCTATTTGCTCCATATGTTGTCGGGTTCAGGTAGACTTTCAGGGCAAACGGAAATCGAGAAATTCGATTGATATGGCTTTATGCTACTGTTTGTATCAAGAAAGTCCAAGTATCGCCGAGTTTATAGCTGCCCAAGAATTTAATCAGTCTCGGGATGCGAGAGTGAGTGCGATTTTTTATTTGGAAAATGGGGTTTTTGAGCTTCTGCTTCTTTGCGCTTTGGGTGGTTGGAATTGTTGCTGGGCAGCCGAAAACTGAACCCCGTGAAGGTGTTTGATGAAATGTCGCTTTCTTTTTTATGCATGTGTCTTGTTAAGAAACAGTTGTGCTGATATTCTTTACCTGAATTGTTGTTGTTGTTGGTTTTTTTTTCGTTTTTTTTGGTAATGACCAGTGGATGCTATCAACAAGATAATTGACCATTGGAATCTGAGGAGTAAGCTGAATTTAACTGGTGACCCCTGCAATAAAAATGCCACTTGGGCTTCTGATTCTGCTAATCCAAGAATTGCTTGTGAATGTACTGACAGTGTCTGCCACATAACACGCTTGTGAGTTACACTCTATACTTTAATAATACAAACCCATTAACCTCCTTTTTTTATTTCCAATGTGCCACATCAGTTAAAACCTCATTTTTACTCCTATATCCATAAACCTCCAATAACAATAAACCTCACAAACCATATTTTTTGTGGGTCCTATATGTTTTCCACTTACTTTTAATTAATACTATAATCTTATATTTTTATATATTTTAAGACTACTCCACTTTTTATTTTAATTCAATCTAAATATTTCATATATATTCTTATAAATATATATATATATATAATAATATAATTATATATATATAATTATATTAGAGTTTGTTTTACTTTCTCTTACATGTAAAGTTTGTTGGAGTTCGTTTTCTCTTCGAAAATACCTCATTTTCAACTATGTTTTTTGACAACAATTGCAACTCATTCTTATTTCAAATAATCGGCTTCGTTTTTCTTAATTCGGGTTGTCAAGTAATTCTTTTTTTTCCAACTATTATTATATATTTCTTTTATAATTTCAAATTAAATAAAAATAAAGTATTATATATAAAAATAATGCAATAATACAGCACAATATAAATTTACACTTTGCACTTGTGAAATTAAAATTCAAAGTGGGGCACAAGCTGCAGAAGTGGGGTCAAAGCCCCTCACTTGAGTTCTAGTGCGTGCATGTACGTCCAATACAACTTTTTCCAATAGTGTGTCACACTCTTTTTTCATGTCATTTTATTCTTTTTCCAATTATTATAATTATGAGGTTTTCAAGAGCTTTGAACTGCCAAACCCGTATCAACATTTTAAACCTGAAACCTTACCATTCTAGTGGTAAACCTATCAGCTTCAGTTTGTAAACTTGTCCAAAACCTGTTGTTAAAGATGCTCTAATTTGCTACTTTTTATGGAAGGAAAAGATAATACTAATAGTGGTAATCCAGGAAAATCTATGCTTTAGATATCTCTGGTGAGATTCCTCAAGAACTGTTCCTGCTCACAGAATTGATGGATTTGTAAGTGATTGCAGTTCTTTGAGCATTTGTTCATTCTTTGTTAGGCCAATTGGTTTAATTGATGGTTTAATTTTATGATGAAGGGATTTGAATCAGAACGTGTTAAACGGGTCCATTCCATCAGCCTTAGGGCAGCTATCAAAAATGCAATATTTGTTAGTACAATTCAGACCCCAAGCTTAACGTTAGAAACATATTTGCCTTTTATTTTCCTATTTTCAAGTAAGTGTGTTCATTTACATTGTAAATACAGGGCTTTTGGCATTAACAATTTCACAGGTCCAGTGCCTGCAGAGCTTGGTAATCTCACCAAGTTGATCGTCTTGTAAGCCTGAGTATATTCTAGTAGATATGACCAACTTCTTATCTATATTGTTTGCAATCTTAGTAATGCATTTATTGATGTTACAGAAGTTTCAGCTCAAACAATTTGGAAGGAACCTTACCTCCTGAACTCGGAAATTTGGCCTCCTTACAACAGCTGTTAGTATTGTACTCACTTTCCTTAACTGTTCCTTGTGTTTTTAAATAAACCTTCGACATCGAGGGACTTGTAGGCTGATTAGGGTTCCAAAAGAGTGCTTTTACTTGGGAAGATGACATATCCTGCCCCATTATGTCATATTATATTTATTATGTTAGAAACTTTCAGGTACATTGATAGCAGTGGAGTGGGTGGACCAATTCCAGAAGAACTTTCAAATTTGAAATCACTCCAAACTCTGTATGTCTCTATCCCTTCCTGGCAAAAATAGTTATTTCTGCATTCTTGAGATACTAATATTGGTTGAGTTAAATTGACTCGATAGATTTTAAATGTTCCAGGTGGGCATCTGATAATGGTTTTACCGGAAAAATTCCAGAATTTTTGGGAAGTTTCACTAATCTGAAAGACCTGTATGCATACCCTATCTGAAATTTCCCTCGCAAGATTTTTTTTTTTTTTTTTTTCCTTCTTTCATTAAATATATCCTGATAATAGGAGACTTGAAGGAACGAACCTCGAAGGACCAATTCCAAGAAGCTTTGGTGCTTTGACCAAGCTGCAGGACTTGTAAGGAATAAGGATTATTCATTTCCTAGAATCATTAACAACTTTGAATATCTCATTAGTGCATTGCACTTTTCCTTCTTTTTTTTTTTTCGTATCATCTTAGGAGAATTGGCGATCTTAGTGGTGGCGATAGTTCTCTGAATTTCTTAGGGAATTTGACAAGACTCTCCACTTTGTAAGTCCTTGCATTGGAATGATTAAGCAACTCATTTTGAGCATCATATATCTTGGACTGCTATATTACATTATTTATTATACTTTTTTCTTTTTATTATCGTGATTTTACTTCCAATTACAGATCATTGCGAAATTGTCGCGTTAGTGGCCAAATTCCAGATACACTAAGCTCTTTCCCCAACCTGAAGTTCTTGTAAGTTTCTTCATTAGAGGTTAATGCATACCACTTTTCAGAAATTTATTTGCAACTTAAATATTTTTATCATTACAGGGATTTGAGTTTCAACAAGCTAACCGGTCAAATTCCAGCCTCTTTTAAAGACTTCGCGTCACTGGAATACCTGTAAGTATTCCATGCCCTCTGTGTGTTTATATTTTATAATAACAATTATGATAATAATCTCATATTATTTGCAGCTTCCATTTGGCAATATACTTAATCAATGAGCAAATTTACTCATTAATTCATATTCTGGTTCACATGGCATAACCAGACACTTTGTTAATCCACTTGGGATTTTTGGCTTGCTTTTCAGGTATTTGGGAAGTAATAACCTTAGTGGGGATTTACCTTCTGAAATTTTAGGTTCAGAACTTTCAGATCTTATTGCCTTGTAAGCCTCAACCTTATACATGTGGTTTTCACTTGCTTAAGCCTTCCGCTTGATTTATGTGCTTTTACAAATTTCAAACTTATGCAGAGACGTCTCGTTTAATCCTCTCACTGGCAAGGTCCCTCTGGAGAGGAAAGGCATGTCAATGTAAGTCGATTCCAATTTTCAAACAATGTAGTTAACATGGTAGAAATATAATTTGACATCTTGAAATTTAATATTTTCCTTCTTGCAGAAATGTAGTTGGGACTTCAATTGATGATCCCAATTTGAATAACACGTGAGTAACCTTCAATTATTCACATTCCAATTTGTGGTTGTGTGAAAATATGTTACTCACTGCTGGAATTGTGGTTTTTTAAATAATAGGGTTAACTCTACCTTTCACCAATTTATTAGTAGCAGTACAATTAATAAAGTAATTGTACTGTAATCCAACCTATTTACCACTTTCATAATTGATATAGGAAAGGAGCCACTGAGTTGCGTTGCATTACAGGCAATAGCACGTGCAATATCAAAAATCCCCCCAGTAAGTAGATTTATGAAAATACTTTACAACGAAGGGTATCCACATTTTTACATGAAACGAAAAATTTGAAACCATCCATTTTCCTGGTAGCTTCATTTGCTGTCAACTGTGGTGGATCAAAAAAGATATCCACAGAGGGCACCACGTTCGAGGCCGATAATGAAACTTTAGGAGCAGCCTCGTTGTATTTGAATCCCGATGGCCAATTTGCAGTTAGCAGTGCTGGGATTTACATTTCCAATCCAAACGGGCCCCAGTACATAGCCAACACACTATCTCAAATAACCAACACTTTGGATTCTGAACTATATCAGACGGCCCGAATAGCACCCTCCTTGAGGTACTTCGGGCTTGGGCTGGAGAACGGAATGTACCGAGTCGAACTTCATTTTGCCGAAATACAGATGCTTGACTCGAGTTCCGGTTCTTGGAAAGGTCTAGGCAGGCGATTATTTGATGTCAATATTCAGGTATATATAGAGTTTTGGTGTCTGTCCAAAGAAAATGCCAACACTGAAATTACAAATAAAAATTACTTACCAAACCCTTTTGTTAGCAAAAAATTCCTAAGCCCTTTTGTGTTTCGTAGCAACTTCTTATAGGCTTCTTTGCAAAAATGAATCAAGCATTTTCCAAATTTTACTTGATTTTACTTATGTTGAATCATAAAGGGTAAAAGAGTTCTTCAAGATTTCAATATAGCAAAGGAATCTGGAGGATCAAAGAATGCCCTGGTTAAGAAATTCATGGCTAACGTGACGAACACCGTTTTGGACATTCATCTCCTTTGGGCCGGGAAAGGGACTTGCTGCATTCCGTACCAGAGCACGTATGGCCCTTTAATCTCGGCCATCCGAGTTTCTCAAGGTACTTTGAATCTCATTTTCCCATCATTCACTTTTTTTTTTTCTTTTTTTTTTCATTTTCCCAAACTGCACACAAATCTTGGTTAAAAATGCTTAAAACTAACTCTATATTTCAGTGTTTCGTTTTCCCCCAACCTTGAGCAGTGTCCGAGTTTGAGGATTCATCAAAGAGCGGCAAAAAACATGTCGGAAGGCAAGGCAAGGCACGGGAGACTTGAATCTGAGATTTTAAGGAAAGACTGAAGGTGTTTCTAGTTTTTCTTGATCGTACAATAATGTGGAACAACGTTCATGTCAAGAAGTTGATGCACATGTGCTCACTTTATTTCTGTCAATTTATGCTTAACCTTGAATTTGGTAAGAAGTTGGATTGGATCAAATGTTTTGGCTTTATGACTTACGTCTCGTTGTATTGTATTTTTCAAGTATTGAATTTTATGTGTTATTACTTCTTGACGCTATTATACGACTGATTGGTATGTTTCTAATAGAAGTCAGTTCTAGAGTAGAGACAGTAAAAATCAGAAATTCTATGGTGCCCATATGGGCACCATATGGTGCCATAATTTCACGATCCAACGCCTAATATCCATTGTAGAATTGATAGAATGGATATTAGGCGTTGGATCGTGAGATTTATGGCACCATATGGTGCCCATATGATGGTAAGTGCTATCATATAAATTACAGTAGTTTTTAAAAATAAATCATAATTGAAATAGTATCTATCATAATCAAAATAGCTTGATAGAGTTCCAGAATTTTTATTGTTGTTCAACTAAAGTAACAAAGACCTAATTCTTTTTTGAACTATAAAATCCTAACAGTGTGTACCATCTTAAAACTAGCATTTTTATTGTCCTTTTACCTAGCTTCTTTGTGTCTGGTATTGGGTGGTTGCCCTTGAGGTCAATATTGTGACTTTGCGGTGTTGTTTGTCGGTTGTGGAGAGGGCTTTAGTTTATTTTAGTAACTTACTAGTATTTGATCCTGTGCATATGCACAGAAATTTAAATTATTATAACTTATAAGTTACTTGTAAGTGTATAATTGTAAAATTATAAGTAAAATAATAGTATCACATTTTAAAAATTTTGTCGTTAGTAAAAATGAACATCATAAAAATATCCAAATTCATCACTATATTTATTATATAAAATAAAATGGATAATTATTTTTCACTAAATTCAACTAATATAGTGTATAATTTTGCATGAAAAATTTGAATTTGAATGAGATGGTGTAACAATCTCTATTACAAAAGATGACTTTTCTTATATATATTTTGGTTGTATCTATAGAATATCCATACTTAGTATTTCTTTTCCATGTGAATAGTCAATGTAAAATTTTAAAAAAATAATTTTAACCATTCAAATTTAACGGTTTAAACATTATCTTGTAACCATGCAACAGTTATATTCTCCAAATACCGAGAAATGAAAAATGGTAATCGCATGCAACCGTTACAAATCCAAAATATAGTAAAAAATAAGTGGATCATTGTATGGAATAAATTAAAAGAAAAAAAATATATTGTAACAGTTTTTGGATGGAGGTCATAAAATTTTTTATTAAATGCAACATATTTTTATTAAATGAACTCATATTATTATTAATTGAAGCTGAATAAAATTAAATGAAGTTTGCCAACAATTATATATATATAGATTAGCAAGATATAACTCGTCACGAACGAGGAGGCATTGGAATGAAATCAAGCATACATTCTGTTATCTCCAATGGACAACCGATTTGGGATTGTTTTACTCAAATGATAAAAACATGAAATTATTGGCTTTGCAGTTGTAGGATATTTATCAGGCCTTCACAAGGCAAGATCTCAATCGAGCTACGTTTTCACGATCGGTGGAACTGAGTTTTCTTGGCGTTCTAAGAAACAAACATACATTTCTACATTTCAAACCATACTGAAATCATTGCACATTATGAACAACTAGGGAAAGTATCTGATTCAGAAACATGACTCAATATAACCAACAAGCCAGTGGATTATCACGTAACAAAGATCTGAGGGTGATATTCAAAGACAATGCAGCATTTGTTGTTGAAATCAAAGAACCATACATTAAGCGTGACAAAAATAAACATATCAAGGAACCAAAGAACTATACATATTCTACCAAAATTCTTCTCACACTCAAGAGCTTTAAAGAAATAAACAAATCAAAATTCAATAGATTCGATCAAATGATAATGCAATAGACTTATTTACAAAGGCGCTCCCGACTGAAACATTTGGAAAACACGTAAAAAATACGAAAATGAGACATTTTCGAGATTTACATAGATGATAATTTGAAAGGATCATGTGCGGTTGTACTCTTTCTTCCATATCTCTTTTTTTTTTTCTNGTATTATTTGTGAATAGTGAAATGATAGAGTATTGGATTTTTGTGTAGGAAAATTCATTGAATGTTTAAAAATGTCCCTATAAAATGGTAATTCATTGAATAAAAAATATTGCAGAAGAAAGATGAAAAATATTATATTTTATATATGATTCCTATATTCAGTTCTTTATCCATTTCTCCACATACATAACATTTCCCTTTTAATATTCACCTATAATTTTATTAAATTATATTTTACGTTGAGCAATATAAAAATATTCATCTTCAATCTTTGAAGATAACGTCATTAGCTATACTCATCAAGCGGTCCAGTGACTCCGGCGAGAATTTTCTAGCGAACAAAAACGGGTCGGACCTCCTCCTCCTCATGTGCTCGGACGAGTTTGAGCCGTCAGATTCTCTATTGCCTTCAACGGCCGAGATGCCCGCAGAAGACTCGGGCCCCTCCGACACCTCATCCCCATATCTGGGCCTCATCCCTCTGAGGCCCAATATCAGCTCCCGGCCCACCTCGCTGGCGTTGTACATCCGCGGGTGGCCCTCATAATCTTCATTGCTCCAGTCCACGTGGGTGAGCGTGCAGGGCACGCACCCCAACGGGTCCACAATGCTCAGCAGCGTAGGGAAATATTGTTCCTCCGGGAAGCACGCGTAGTCCACCACGCACGGCTGCCGGAACTTCGACCACAGCCACGCGTCGCTCGCCATAACCCGCGCGTGATTCCGGTTCACTACCCAGAACTGCGACCCGAACCGGAAATCCTCCAGATCCACCTCCGGGAGCATCGCGTCCTCCCCACGCACCACCCACCTCCAGTACGCGCTGGGCTCGTCGGGGCCCAGTATCTCCACAAAGCTCCGGCCCGATTTAAGAAGAAACCGGCGCGTGAATCTGAAGGAGTGCAGTGGGGCGCAGGAAGGGGAGAGGAGGGCGAACACGGCGTTGGCCCCGTCGTCGACGAGCGCGTGGGAGAGGATCCGCCGCGCCGCGGCGGCGAGGCTGGGGGTTTGGCGGCGCGTGGGCTTGGAGGGGATGACCCGGCCGGCGAAAACGCCGGAGAAGGGCGGCGTGTAGTGGGCTTCCGGGTCAGCGTGGATGTAAACGTTGTACGAGTTGGCGGGGGCGCCGGCGAAGAACATCTCCCATAGGGGCGCGAGGGGGAGGGAGGAGGTTGTGAGGAACATGAAGGCGATTTTCTTGACGGGTTTCGGGTTCGGGTCGACCCGGGAGGCGAGCTTCATCAGCGCCACGTCATCGTCATCGTCCTCGTAGACCCATTGGTTTGGGGTTATGGGTTTTGTGAGTGTGGAGGTGGAGATGAGAAAGGCGGATAGGTGTAGTAGACAGAGGAGGAGAGAACAGAGGAGGAAGAGAGGGGTAATAAGAGAAAGCGTGGTTTTTTGGAGAGGGTGTTTTGATGAAGTACTCAATTTTGGTTCTCTCATGTTTGAGTACTAAAAAGGAAAAAAGGGGAGTATTTTTAAGTGTTTGGACTAGGTCATTTCAAACTAAAATATCACTCACACACTTTCTTCATCCGGGTGGTAATTTTTCTCTTAATATATAAAATATTTTAGAGCATTTTTATTGGTTGACAGATATTGTAGACATAGTATTTATTTTTGCACTAGAGGACTTTTAAATTTTTTTTACTTGAGTTTATCCATGTCATTCAGGACTTAAGTCCACATATATAAAATTGAACTTAATGCATTGTTGATGCTCTTATATGATTTATAATCTACAAAACTTTGAATTTCTTCAACCAATAGATGATAGAAATCTAAAAGAAAATCTTGACATGAAACCAGTGTTTTAAATAGCGCAATTTCGCGCGCTACGAAGCGCGATATAGCGCATTTTTACCCAAAAACGCGACATAGCTTATATAATTTCGCGCAGTTCCAGAAAAGCGTACGCAATTTGCGCTATTTACGCAATTTACGCTATTTCTCACGCTATTTGGGTAATCCTTATTTATAGGCAAAAAATAAAATAATAAATACAAAAAAAAAAATGTAGGGCACAAAATTGAGTAATTTCTCCCATGGAGAATTTGAGTGATTATTAAATCATGTTTCGTATTTCTCTTGAAAAAAAAAAATTTGAAAAATTGATATCAACATATCTAAGATTGATCTTTTGGACTATTAGAATCATGAAATGTTTATGTTTCTTAAACTCAAAAGTGAAATGAGAAGAACACTTCATTTTTTTCTCCAAATGATGAGGAGATGCAAGAATTTGATGAAATTGTACTAATAATTTTTTATAGTGAAAATATCCGTAACTTTGATAGAATTGACGATGATAGCCAAATTCAATTGGATAACACCGATCATTTTAAGATTTTGAATCTTTATTTTAAACATTAAGACATTGGTTGTTTGAAGAATTAATATTTGAATGTTATTTTTTAGATTCAATGTCCAAGTTTATGGTTTAAGACCATTTTAACTATTTATTCGCTTGTATGGTTATATATTATTATTTTTAGCATTAAAAAAGAATTGCTCAAATAGCTTACGCATATTTTAAACATTAAGACATTGGTTGTTTGAAGAATTAATATTTGAATGTTATTTTTTGGATTCAATGTCAAAGTTTATGGTTTAAGACCATTTTAACTATTTATTCGCTTGTATGGTTATATATTATTATTTTTAGCATTAAAAAAGAATTGCTCAAATAGCTTACGCAATGCACTAGCTATTTACGCTACGAAATATAAGGACCAAAACGCGACGCATTGCGCGATGCGCGTTTTAAAACACTGCATGAAACATTATGATTTGATATATCGTGTGGGCCCGCGAGTGTAAAGGCTTTCTATTATATGACTATCTTTCTTGTGCAATGTGTGCGTTTTTTTGTTCTCATATATATTGCAAAAATTTGGTGTAATATGATATAGGTAGAGGAAAAAATAAAAAGCATGGTTTATAATGATTAAGGGCGGGTAACTAGTAGAACAAATAATTTTTACATATGTTAAAAAATATGTCCACATCGGTTAAAAATACCTTTTTAATAAAACAATATCGAATCAAGCTACAAGCCATATAAAAATAGGCCTCGGAAGACTTTTCAGTTTGATCTTTTCAGTATAAAAATAAGCCATATAAAAACGAGATGTAGAATCATGACATAGAAAAGTTTCATCTTTTCAATTTTCACATCAGTTTGGAACACTTGATTCTGCTATGTAGGAGTGATTTATTCTTCTTTGTAAAAGCCTGTATTCTCCTGCGTAGGAGCTTCTAGTTAGTCTATGTGCAAAATCTTATTGATAATTTTTTTTTCTTACATCAATTATTAATAAAACCGTTGTGAACATGCTTACTGTGACATCGGTTATTAACAAAATCGATGTAACAACCAATGTCTGAAGTGTATGCTTACATCGGTTTATTCAATAACAGATATAACATGTTGGCAATGTTACATCTAGACATGACCAAAACATAGACTGAGCCCAGGCCCGACGGGCCAACTAGCTCGGAGTCATTGACTCGGAACCGGCACGAACCTAAGTCGTGCTGAGTCCATGGCCCGGCAGGTCCGAGCACGACCCGGGTCTGGGCCCGTAAAAAAAAAATTAAAAAACAAACAAAAAAGCATGAGGTTTTCCGAGACCCGGACCAAGGTCGAAAAAAACAAGGCCCTGGACAGGCCTGGTTAAAATCCGAGCTGGGTCTGGACCATGGTAAACGGGCTTGACCGGAGGGTCCGTGTCGAGCCGGCGGGCCAGGTGGCCCGTGGCCACCTCTAGTTACATCGGTTTTGTTTAATTATACATTATTTTTTACCAATGAATCTTAAAATCTATTACCATAAAATGATAACATTCATACGTTCAATATTCCCATAATTCACTAATAGGGTACATGACAAATACTATCAAGCACAATATTTCAACAACACAAAGTTATAACAATAATTCTCATATGCAATACACACCAATAGTAGTCATCACCCATAAATGTCATAAAGTTCAAAATCCACAAAACAAAAGCAAAATTGATCAAGTCTATTTTCCTATTCAAGTAACCTCCAAAAAGTATTTTGTCCAACGCCTCTTTATATCCTCACTTTCCTCGCCTGAATATAGCTCATCAATGCTCAATATCCACATGATACAAACAAATATTCCCTCAATAACTTGTATTGAAGTGTGTGTGATTTAGAATACACTCATACAGTAAAAGTTTGATTTAATAAAAAGTTATTTCGTTGAACGAGTCAATCATGTCAAGGGATATAATCTCGAACATATACTTTATAACAAAATATCCACATGCGGCATACCTCATCTCCCAATTATTTCGACACTTGTACGAAAAACATAAAAACGTTATTTATATTACACGAACTTAATCGATACATACAACTAACAAATAAATATGAACGCTGCAATATCAAAAACACTTAACACATTCAATAAATTCACCTGCAGGTTTGAAATAGATTTAACAAAGTAAGAAAAGTTAAATAGAAAAGCGATATAATTTATCAATTTAAAAACATACATATTAATTCTTCCTTCAACTCTTTATTGAGTTTTCTTCTCAACGAGCACAACTAAACCACAACATTCTGATTCTAACAAAACACCATCAACAGTCAATGTTCTCAGCCAATCCAAAATAAAATGATAAAAATGTTTATTTGCTACACTTTTTAATTTGTTTGTCCATTGTTATTAATCAAAATAAATTAAAGCAAAGCTAAATTGAATTTGATATTAATCATTCATCTTTATTTATTTCTTGCACACAAATAAAGTGTGAGAAATCAAAAGTGTACCCCTGTAACACAATAAGACAAAATAATCCTCACACAAGTGAAAATAGTACAAGTGACAAACATATGCATTCATGCATATGACTAAGTCAGCTAGAAGTGTTGGTCATGCATTTGGGTGGATCAATAAACTGCATGCAGATAAAAGGATAATCAATTCATAACCTATACGAAACAACTGTTAATATGATCTCAAGTTCCTAGGTCTTAGAAAAATATTGGCGATCCTCATCAGCCAATATTTGTCATTTGAGGCATTCTACAAGCCAATAATGAATTGAAAACAATAAAAATACAATGATGATCGTTTGTTTATGTACTATTGTGCTTATGATGCATCAATTGGTTCCATTAACAAGCAAGTTTCTTAAACACTTAGATAGACAACAATGGTAGAATTATGCAACATTAGACATATATTAGCTAGGTCCCACAAAAAAATGCTCCAAGTTAAAACAATTATATTATAAAAATAGACTAATAATACTCACTTCACATTGAAAGGGAGTTGGTCGAAAATATTAGTAATGATATTAGTTTGAATCTAAAAAAAAATTGAAGATCGCAAATTTCATTAGCCCCAAGTGTTTTAAAATCTTAGCTCCGCTAGGATGAGAAGCAATCATCTACGAGTTATCTAATAGAATACCAAATATGTGATAAGAATTATCTAATAGAATGTACCAAATATGTGATAAGCGTATGGTTTTGTGCCTTATTGAACGCAAGGTGTGAAATTCCCTCCAATCTTTTTTATCCTATTACATTAAATAGTTGGCAGCTCATGCAAAATCTTTAATTTTGTTCAAATGCTAATGCGGTCGTTTGTGATCCTGAGTTGAGCTCCAAGCTAAAGTCTGCAACATATGGTGCTCTTACATGGTTAAGTGGTGAGGACCAAGATAATGTGCCTACACTTATGAGTAAATAAAAATTTTATTTACTTTTTTTTTTTTTAAGATATTATTGGTTCGGTTCGTTAATCGAACTCTGATGGGTCGGTATCGATACGGAAGTGATTGACAGCCTTTCAGTAACCGATAATCGAATACCGTTACGAGCAATTCGGTACGATTCAATTTATTTTCTTGTCGGTTCAGTTCGATTTTCAATTTTTGGTAAAAAAATGATATTCCTATATATATTAAAAAATGTATTTCCCTTTATACATGTGCATGTGTATATGATCGAATACTAGTTTTCAAATAACACGGGTTTGTCCCGTCTCTTTGATTATGATACATTTATACTGACTCACACATTACAAATAACTCACGCTCATACAAAGATATCTCAACCTTTGAAGAGCAGGCCATTGGCTATGCCCATCAAGCGGTGCAAAGAGCCCGGGGAGAATTTTCTAGCAAAAAGAAACGGGTCGGCCCTTTTCCTCAAACCCACGGTCGCGTTCAGCCCGCCCCGTTCCTCATCCCCGTATCTAGGCCTACTCTTCCTAAGGCCCATTAACAGCTCCCGGCCCACTTCATCGGCCCCGTACGTCCTCGGGTGCCCCCCGTGACCTCCATTCCAGTCCACGTGGGTGAGCGTGCAGGGCACGCACCCCGACGGGTCCACCATGTTCAGCAGCGTCGGGAAGTAGTGCTCCTCCGGATAACACGTGGCGTCCTCCCGACATGGCAGCCTGAATTTCGACCACAGCCGCGTGTCCCGCACGACCGCCCGCGCGTGTCTCCGACGCAGCGCCCAGAACTGCGACCCGATCCGGAAATCCGCGAATGCCACCTCCGGGAGCATCGCCTCCTCCCCACGCGCCGCCCACCGCTCCCGCGCCCCGGGCTCGTCCCTCAGTATCTCGATGAAGCTCCGCCGGGATCTCATCAGAACGCGGCACGTGAAACGGAAGGATCGCAGGGGGATGCACGATGGAGAGAGGAGGACGAACACTGAGTTGGACGGGTCGTGGAGGAGCGCGTGGGCGAGCAGCCTGCGCGCCGCCGAGATGAGGGTGGGGCTGTGGCGGCGGGTGGGCTTGGACGGGACCTCCCGGCCGGCGAAAACGCCGGAGAGTGTATCCGTGAGGTTGACGCGCGGGTCAGTGTGGACATAGATGTTGTACAGGCTCCTGGGGGCGCGTGCGAAGTACAGCTCCCAAAGTGGCGCGAGTGGGAGTGATGATGTGGCCAGGAACATGAAGGCGAGCTTCTTTGCGGGCTTCGGGCTCGGGTCGGCCCGGGAAGCGAGACTGAGGAGTGACACGTCATCCTCGTCGTCCTTTTCATCGGCGGGGGCGGTGCGGTTCTTGATCGATTGAGGCTCTGCTGATAGTGTTTTAATAATTAAAGTTGCATTCGTCGGAGAAGATGGGTTGGGGAGTGGCGGGGCGGCGGAAGTGACGGCGGAGATGGTGGAAGGGGTGGTGAAGGTGAAGATGGCGGCGAGGGGGAGGCAGAGGAGGAGTGCGCAGAGCAAAGAGAGTGGGGTCGGTGGAAACATTTTTCTTTTTTCTTTTTCTTAAGTTTTTGATTTTTTTAATGTAATGTGGTCTGAAAAAGATTGGTGTTGATAAGATGAGCACCGAGATATAGTTTTAATTTTAAAGAAACATTAAATATTTTTTAAGTCCTTAGGAGATAAGTGTTGTTGAAATTCATTGAAAGCTGTTACGAGGAAGTGTAGTACAGAGAGGGTTCGAGACGGATTCACTTTAAATAGTTGGACACCTCCATTAGTATACAATGCATTCTTTTTTAATATGTAATTGTTAATTATAATAAATAAAAAATAAATAAAGGTTGGGTAAATGAATATAGTCTAGCAACGTATTTTCATATACATTTACTTTAATTGTTGTAGTTTATGTATGTGCATGTAGGGTTGCTTATTTGATTCGTCTAGTAGTTTAATACGTATGTACGTATTTTCATATAGAAGTACTCTACTAATGTATGTACATGTAATGTTACACATCAGATAATTGGTCCGGTTTGATAATTACTTGAAAGTTAATTAATTATTGTTAGGTTTTGAAATACGGGGGATTCGTTTAGGTATAGACAAATGGCGAACATGCAGATTGCAGAAAAAATTACGAGCTGGAAACATTAATATCGTGTTGGGTCACGAGCAAATGACTAATTTATTTATTTTATCTTCTGTTTGGCAACTTATATGGTGTCTATTTTCTTCTATTAGCGAGGATGGTGCTTCTTATAAATGGGAAAAAGCATGCTTTATAAAAGTGTTTGCTAAAATAAATAAAGAAGAATATATATATCAGTTCTCAATTAGTGCCAGAAATGAGTGTTCTTTAAGGAAGTGCGACTTTTCTTTTTTTTTTTTTCTGGTTTGCTAACAAAACTTGATTTAATTAATCTAACCATCGGTTGTTTAATTCCGCCTCTTCAACTTGTTTAGGGTTTCAGTATTCAAGTGGTTACATTCAATTGTCTACCTTAATGGAGCTAAATTATTTATGGAATACACAATGATATGATGTCAATAAAACTATGCAAATGAAATCGCACATATTAAATAAAAAAGTGGATGATAAATAAGTTGATGAAGAAGTTAGAAGTTAGAGCTCGACTTATTTGTCAATATCGAATTGATGAGTCTGGTTCGAACATTAATAAGTCGAAGTTGGGCCGAGCACATAATTAAACTACTTTGTTTCGTTTAACAAACATTTGGTTATAATAATGTTGTTGTAGCCGCTAGGTATCATTGAATTGATTTAAAAACTCATAAAAGTAATATGGTAGTAGCATATATTATGAGCATATTTATCTTTTTTGTCACCCGCAATCTCATCTAACATTTCTAGATATTGCACCAACAATGATTCGAATTAATTGGTCTTCGGATTACACGTTGGGTTGGATAATTAGTCTCCAAATTTTAAAAATAATTATATATCATATTTTCTTCTAAATTAAAGCTTAATTAGTTGCATTGTGAGTCCAACTATGTCTCGAGACACAACTATAGAGCAATAAAATCTTTACATTTTTCTTTGTTCATCAATGTCCAAGTTGCATTGTGTGTTGTTGATGTTATGTCTACATGATTTACATACAAATAATAAATTAAATAATTAAAGTGACTGGCCATGATAGCAACAAAATATAAAAACAACAAAAGAAAATCAATGTTTAATTAATAAAAGTAACGGTTGGAGTCAATTTTACGAACATTTTAAAATCAGAGAGCGTGAGGGTGAGGCTGGGGTTTAATTCCCGGCCGTTGGATGAGGTATTAGTCCACCGACAGTGATCTTAGATTTTTCGTGATCTCGATTTGTAAATTGTAATGGTTAACTTGTACTCCGTATTTCGAAGATGTTGTACAGCTCTTTAAATTGCGGAAATATTTTTCAATTGGAGGGATGATTTAATCCGTCATCTTTCTTATGGGCATGGTATAGTTTTATTCAGTTGTGATGATGAAAACAGTGACTGAAGCCGAAAGAATGAAATTGTACTTTTCGTAGTTTCTTTTCTTGATTAATATAGATAGCTTGAATAAGTAGTTGGAGTTTAATGCTTTCATTTGGTCATTGTTTTTTGAAGAAAGCTATATAGTGGCTCTCGCTGATTCGATTGACCTGCTTGATATTGTACTTATCATTTACTTTTGGATTCACATAAGTAGTGGTTTTGATATATTATTAGGCAATCCTTTTAAATTGGACTTATGTTATAAGTGAGGGTTTATCATAAACCTTGGTCTACCATTTCACAAANAAAGGAGGCTTTTCACAAAGAGCATGGCTGAAGAAGGATAATATGATTGGCCATGGTCTAAATTAAGTGATTCACTAGTTTTATATCAAGAAGCTTTTGCCTTTTGGTTTGAGTACTGTTGGTCCCTATTTGTTTGCTAGCATCTCTCTTGTATTGACAACTCCATTCCAATTGATGGCTATTGAACAAAGGCATCATTAAGATGAGTTTGTGAGGAACATTCATCAAGATTTCACCTTTTTATCTGAGTGTGAACTGTGAGGTGGCTCAAAAGTCCGCCATGGCACATCAAAATCCTGACTGGCTAATGGCCCGAGAATATATCGCACGTTTTATATATAAAATGAAGTAGAATCGAGATAACCGAACCTAATAAAGCTCAGGAAAAAAGTAAGGAAGAGAAAAAACTCTCTCTTTATGGTCCGTGCATGCAAACAAGGATTTATATTTATCTGAATTTATTGGTTTTGGTTGTATGAGTGTATATGTTTGCCTGTTGTTATGTTAGTGCAATTAGGTGTCGGAAGTATTTTCATTCGCTTCTGCATGTTCTTTTATTTATGTTGTTTTTATGTTTCTGAGTAGTGTCTTAAATATGTAATGGAAATCGAACTTGTGGCATCAGTTAAACTACAATAGCGATAGAGGTACTTAATTAGGGTGATTTTTTTCTTGCTTCAGTATTACGTGACTTGTTAAACGAACCGAGCTACTTGTGTGCTCGGCTAGATAAAGCTCGAGTTCAGCTATCAAACGAGCGAACTCGAGCTTGTTTAGTTAACAATTCGACCTATGCTTGTTGGGCTTGTAAATAGTTGTTACGTAATTTTTTTAACTATTAACTTAGTTAGGCTTGTTAAGACTAAATTCAGCTCATTAATTTTGACAAATTAGCTCGTTTACTGGCTTGATTAGAACTTGATTCAGTTTGTTTACAGTTGTATATGTCACTTGTTCACAAAAACTGCAACCTTTTACGGTTTCTTAGCAACATTAAAAAGACCTTAGTTGTAGAAGTTGTATTAAATTCTGGACCAGAAAAGAGATCAGAATTTCAAAGCATGGCTACTTTGATTCCAATTGGATAGAGATGAGCAGACCAAAAGATAAATTGACATTTACGATAAAGCGTGATTTATTATTAATCTTAATGTTGAAAGTGATATATATTTTTTTTCATTTCTTATAAAATTAAAATTTGAAATGTATGGCTTGATAATTATTTAAAGTTGAAAGTGATTTTTGTATTAATTTGTATTTTAATTATAAAATTTGAAATATATGGTTAGTTGAAGTGCTGTTAAGTGCTAACTACTGACTCTCTTAAATGCATGCAGGTATCAATTTACTTGAAATGTGAAAATATGAAAATGTCTTAAATATAATTATGTAAACATCTAATGGAAGTTCTATCTATCAAAATCAATACCAAACTGTACCTTATTTTATTTTATATTCAACAAAGCAAGAATACCCTTTTTTTGTTCACTTATGTATAAACGCACAAATGCATAAAACAGTAATGGTCCAAATCATATTGTGTATGCCAATAATTTTGCCTACGACATTACCAATATATGTAGGATGACAAAGGAAAATGCTTTAAAAGGGCACGATAACAACAATTAAATGCAAGATACATATTAGCGTATTTTATCAACCGATTGGCGTTACAATCTTTTTTCCTACAAAAACTAAAAAAATCAAGCCTCACTTATTATTGTTTTTTTCATTTCAACAATCCCAAGTAAAATAAATATATAATTTTCATAAAAAATAATACAAAAAAATATCGAAGTTATAATAGTAATTATTATTATTATTATTATCTTTGTTTATTGGGGTAATTTATAAATATATATATATATAAAAAAAATCAAGTGGGCAAAAATAAAAAAAAATAAAAAATTTCTAGACAAAATCAAAAGCCCGTATTCTCAGAATACGTTTTAAAATTATATTTGTAATGTAAAACTTTTTCTCATAATACAAGATTTTGATTTTTGTCCACATTTTTTTTTTTGTTTTTACCCAGTTAATCGTTTTTTTCTTTTTCCTTTTTTGGGTAAAAAAATCTTGTTTATGCCCTACTTTGACACTGGATTTTGGAATCCAACTCTCCGTTTAAGAAAAGTAATTTGCAAGTAAGACTTTGTTTAGAACTTTCAAATTTCAGGTCTTATTTTGACGCATTTGATACAACTCACGCCCCATAGTGAAAATTTTTACCATGGGAAAAATTTTCACCCAAGACAAACCTCTAATTAACATTCAAAACTCTAATATAATCTAAAATATTAATCCAAAAATGTTTTCATAATACGCACAAAAAAAAGTGCCTAAAAATACAAATTCTTATATGAAATGATCTAATCGCACGATCCTACCATATTTTTTATTTTAAATATGCATATTTATGCTATGAAACAGTTTTATTTATATATATTTTAGAATACAATATTTCACTTTAAAACACACATAAAGTATTTGAACATGACAATAACCTTGACTAAAAAAGGTGGGAACCTAAGTTGGGGACCAATGCCTTATAAAGTGTTGGTATTATTTTTCTTTCTTGATAACAAAAAGGTTTTCTTTCATTTTCAATTTGTCTCAACTACTAATATTCGAGTGAAATTTGAAATCTCCCCAAAGCCTCTTTCAATTTCATTATCTTCATAGATGAATTGGCGTGCATATAATTAAATCTTTTCAAACAAAACAATACAACATGCAGAATATTAAATTAGGGTATGAAAGCTGATATACAAAGTTATACTAGAAAAGGTTCTTAAAAGACTGAGCTTTCAGGATTCATGAAGAAGGCTGAAATACTCGAAATGTAGACGGTGCAAACCTTTGCAATGATTTCGTTTCTGAACATTGAATGTTTAGTTGAGAGCTGGCAAGCCTGGCATTTAGTTTTTGGCGCAATTGATGAAGCATCAAGAGCGCGAAAGGACACCTTTCGAGCTATAGAGGAAAAAACAGAGAGAGTTTAAGTTTAGCATAACAAACACAATTTCAAGATAAACTTGCAACACTTAGTTAAACCCATCTTTAGGTCTCCTATGAAAACTGACATTTCTTTTACAAGAGAGCTAAACACAAACCCTCATCCTAAATAAATAAATAAATATTGAAAGTACAAACCTTGGAACACTTCCTCCACGGCGAGGATCATACTCTGTTGCTTGCCGAAGGGCTCTTGCAAATGCCTTGAAGGTTGCCTCGATGATGTGGTGAGAATTCCTCCCAGCAAGCTATTCCGATTATCAGAATTCAACCATTCAGAAAATATGGGTTACAATATACACACAGTAATTAATAAGACTAAAGGTAATTTTGCTACTTCATTGATTTTTATAAATGGAGGGGCATGTTGAGGAATTTGCTTGTATAAGATTTGATTGATCGGTGGTAATTCTATCCCATTAGGCAGGCATACTTTTTCAACGAAGTTCATACTGCCACAATGAAATGTCATATTCATACAAAAACATAATGTGAAGCAACTATTTAACACGTTCGGAAAAGTATGACATTTTTTATTAAAAAAAGTTATGGCATTACCTTCAAACTATCTTTGACCCGCTATTGTACCTTCCAAACAGTACACGTAGAGTTAAATTTATTACGCTATATCGTGTAAAGATTATTATACGAAACAAATACTGGTGTCTTCCCAAAAAAGCAAGAAACAAGCTACACAAATATATACTAGATGGCACAATCCAATGTATTTACCATTTACCGATCAATATATATATATATACTAGATGGTACAATCCAATGTCAGCCGTTTCAAGCAATATGACGAATTAAGGAATTAGTCTCTTTGCATACAATTTATCCATAACTTTTGTGAATGCAATATGCTAGGAGGAATTTGTTTGCAAATGAAGGTATTAAGATTTTCACCACCTAGCTACTCTTACAATGTATACAAAAACTTCAGAAAAGAAAAGAAAAGAAAAGAAAAGAAAAGAAAAAAAACAAAAAAAAAAAAAAAAAAAACGNAAAACTAAGTTTTACCTGTCGTATGTGTAGTGTCATCCCAGAGGTATTAACCAAAGACTGAAAGAAGTGCTCCACCAACTGAAAGCATCAACACATACGAGTGAGTCAATACACAGGGGGAATGCAGTTGAGGAAAAAATGAAACTACGGGAAGTTAATTTTATGCAAGCTAAGTGCAAGGAACAGTGTTTAACATAAGGTAAAATCAACTACAACAATACCTCAGATGTCACCTACGAAAAAATTGAGTCATTTAATAACAGAGAGTACCTGTGTGTCGTAAGTTCCAACTCTCTCTGTTGGTATGTGCAAATCATAACCCAAATGAGGCCTTCCGGATAAATCCTAAACAATAAATTGAAAAGAAAATCTACATATTCAGAACGGAAACCATTTCTCACGATGGGAAAAAAATACTCCATCATAGACTTCAGTTTTCGCAACTCCAGTCAAATTCTTCCTATAGATGATAGAAGACTAAATGTTGCATCTGCTTTATAGATAATAACGAATTTTTGTAAAGTCCATACTCCCCAGAAGAGGTCAGTATATTTCCAGCATCATACCAGCGAAACATGTACAAGTGCTTCATCAAGAGGAGCCGAGAAGTCTCCAAACCTGTTAATTCCTTTCCTATCACCAAGTGCTTGCAACAAAGCCTGCAGGAAGGAATTTATTGTTACTACAGTTGATTTCCAAACTACCCGTAAAATATTGCAAGTAAAGCATGTCTACGGCTTCTTGGTTCTGGCCCACGTTGAACATTGGAAAAGCGTATAACAAACATACAACAAAAGATATAACCTGTATTCGAAATGGATACAATTTATTTCTTGTTGCAAGCAAAAGGAGATTTAAATATTCAAGACTTATGTTCAAAAGATGAATATGATTTCCGAAACAAGACCAATCAGATCCACATGGCCAATTACATGCCAAACAGGTTTCTTTCACAGATATGTGGTGCAAACTAGAGAAAGGATGTCGAGTACGAACAAACAATGAATGAAGCATCAAAGAGAAAATAATGTTGTCCTAAAATATTGCAAAAGGTCATGATACAGAAATTGGAATTTTGAATCTTGGAAAACTTACAGTTCCAATTGCCAAGGCTATATCTTCATTAGTATGATGATCATCAATATGAATATCTCCAGTGGCTTTAACATGTACGTCAAATAACCCATGTGAAGCAAGTTGCTGTAACAGATGATAAAAGCAATATTCATAATTCTAGCTTATTCGAATCTAGCATATAAACAACGATACCATGTAACACATGTTGCACTCAAATAACTCAATCACCAACTCAACAACCCCAGTCAAAATGATCATATTCATTTTGGATGGAAAATATAAGACATCTATTACTGCCAAACAACTCTTTATATTTTAAACAGAATAGAAGCAGAAAAAATAATCCACACTTCTAATATTGGCCTAATTACTATAGTTTACAGATAAAAAGTACACAAACAATGAGTGAATGACTACATATACAGAATAATCAACACCAACCCCCTTAGTAGTTCTCGAACTTGTAAGCACTGTGAAACCCTGATGAAGGAAAAATATTCGGATTTATTGAAGGACACACAGATTCAATACGAGTTTTCTGGCTAACATTAGGTAATACTTTACTTCATCAAGCTTCAATACGAGTTCAATTGCATATTCCATGTTCAATCAAATTCAACCCACGAGCACTGAACCAACCCAAAAAAAAAAAAAAAAAAAAAAAATGCTCACGAATAAACAGATAAGTGATAACATACATCTAACATGTGATCGAGAAAAGGAATGCCCGTATTATTTTCAGTTGTGGCACTGCCATCCAGATTAATCTTCACACTGACATTCGTCTCCTTGGTAACCCTCTTCACCTCTCCAATCCTTACCCCTTCAATTTCCGGCAATTTTCAAAGACAGGCTAAAACAGCAACAGGAATAAGGAAAAGAAGAGAAAAAACGAGTCCAATTTACCCTGAGCTATTTCTGTCGACGGAGAACTATTGTTAACGACTGCATGAGGTGCAATGAACTCCATTGGAGGGGTTGTGAGATACCTGGAGAAGAGTTGTACACTGCGCTGCTGAAGGGGTAGAGGGAGGAAAACGCGCTGCGAGAGAATAACCGGTGAATTGCAGATGCGCGATTGACCCAAAACCGAACTTTTGACTGAACTATGCGAGATTGAGAGGTCCATAAGTCGAGGAAACTGAATAAACAGTTGACGGGAAGCGGCAGCGGCGGGGGGTGGGGGTGCTCGCCGGGGATTAGACGTGAGAGAGTATCTATTTCTACACAAAACGCTTCGTTTGGTTTATTTGCAAACCCGATTTATGTAACTGAGTTAAATTTTAGTTTGATTAGTTTTTTTACTGTAGAAATTATAAACAATCGCCCCCTAAGTACTCGAGCTCGAGTAGTAAAAGTTTGAACTTAGATCGGCTAATTTAAACTAGCTCTACTGTCTACAGATCGTTGTGTTTATTAAACTTTATTGACATAACTATTATTCTACTTTATAGTAAGTTTATGATGAAAAGGATTGTTTCACTTGTTTCAATGGTCATACGATGACAAAATACCAAATATTGCATATCAATTGTCTAATATTGTGTGTTAATATATTTATAATTATAAAGCATCCAACATCTCACTCAACTATTCTATATTATAATTTAACGCCTTAGATTTTTTTAATTTAAAATTCATTTTCATTTTTGTTTTGTCGTTCAATAAAAGTTCGATTCGGGCCCAGGTGGGTTTGAATCTTAGTAGTCGGCCAAAATATCGCGAGACAGATAAAAAGAGAGTATTCTTCTCCTTGTTGGTCACCTTCTTCGTCTCGAAGTCATTATAAACGACTTTTTAAAAGGCAAAAAAGAAGTTATTTTTCTTATTTTATTTTAATTTTTTCATACTAATTAAATATATTTTATTTATTTATTTTGAATAAATTAACCTACCTTAATTTATTTATTAAATAAATTCATTAAACTTATTTTGTTTCTAATTTATTTGTTTTATTTTCAATTATTTTGTTTTTTTATTTAATATTTTTAATTTTATGTTAAATTATTTAAAATATAATAGAAAATATTATACCATATTATTTTAAATTTATATTATTTTATTTTTATTAAACTTACCTAGTATATTTATCTCATATTTAACTTCATTTATAATATTTTATTTTATTCTTCATTCATTTTAATTTGCATTTATCTTATAATTTACTATTTAACGTATCATTAAGTTTTTATTATTTCAATTTATTTCATATTAATTTATTCTATCATCATTGTTATAAAGTTATTTTATTTTATTTCCTTATATATAAGTGCTTGTATAGTTGGTGGTTATATATAAGTGTTTGTATATTACAAAACTGTTTAATTTTTTTTTTTCTTAAAAGTTTGTACAAATGGCTTGTCAAACCACATGGGCAACTAATATTCCGAGCATCAATCTAATTATGTGAACAATCCATCCATACCAGAATATATTTTTCTTTATGAACCACATTCACATGATCAAAAGGAAAAACACCATGAAGAGAATACTTATGCAATTTATATAAGAATATAATATGTATAATAGCACGGCTTACTTACTTACCAGTTGCGATCAGCAGTGAGATGAGTATAGAACTAAAGTAGGTTTGGAACAGAAAAATGTGCAAAAAGAACACACAGGGGTGCCAGCTTTTCCTTCACTCTGTCCTTGTGCAACCTACTGGAGCTCTCCTTATATTATTCTCAACCTGTATCAACCGAAAAATGATTATGTACAGGACATGAAAGAATATATAAGTTTGTGGTGCATAAATAGTTATCATCGCACTACAGAAGCGCAGATGCATTAGATGCATTATTCCCAGAGAACTAGTGTTTATAATACAGCTAAAACCATCTGTATCAGTGTCGCTTAACGCAATATATACATACATATATATATATATACACAGGAGGAAACTATCATCACGATCAACATGTGTTACGGAGATTATCACGACACTGCAATATTTCTTCAAGTCTTGTCACATAATTCAAAAGACTGGGCGTGAAAATTATTTAATCAACCCTTTCCATCATTACTGAAAAATAAATTTTCCAGACCAAAAATGTGGGCAGCAGATCCATGCATGAATTTACAAGTGACCAAAAATTATCTATAAATTGAAGTCAGATAGAGTACACATGGAATTAAGATCATTGTAGATTTCTGTCACATGCGATGCTAACAGTTATTTGCAAAGGGGAAATTTAAACATTTGGCTACACTGCTACAAAATTTACAACTACTTAATCAACTAAAAAATGTTCAACCACGTATTTGTTACCCAATTGAGACGATATGTACTACCGGGATACGTTCCCAAATATGAAGCAATAAATATCATATCACTATACAATGTCATTTATCACCTATCTGAAATAGTGAGTTTTTCCAAAAGACTAATTCAGCACCAAGTAAAATGATCCATACCCTCTCCAGGCAGAAGACAAAAATTAGAGAGCCATGACTATTTTGAGACCTACAACCACATATTTCTAAGGTGTAAGGTAGTTCATGCTTAGACTTTCAATAGTAAGAAACAGGTTATCATTCTAATAGTAAGAAACAGGTGATCATTGTGCCTATACTGTGCTCATCTTGAACCAGGTATAAAATTTTCATCATTTTTCTCCTTTCCCGTTTGCCTTTAAAAATTGTTAATGATCTCAACAAACTACCAGTACTGCAGCAGAATTTTAAGAGAGTCCAAGCGGAGAATTTGTGGTCAGCTCAAGTATTACATCTTCTCAAGCTCATAACTGAATTCACTTATATCTGATATCATTAAATTTGGAACTACCAGGGATGAGAATCTGCATGCAAAGTTGGACTCTTGGCAAGAATATATATGTATATGAAGGATTATATTCTAGATGAATATATTTCATGCTAAGAATAATTAAAATCTGATTTGTTTTTGTTATCAAAGCATGGCTGACTGCATCTGTATAACGAACTGCAGAGATATTTATTTGAATGCCTCTTTATTACATAAATAAATAAAAAAATATTTTCTGATAAATAAATATTTTCGTTCAGCTAAGTATTAATTTAGTATTTCATCTGGCTTGCAGATAACTGAATATATCAAATGCACTAAAATTTAAGATTATCCAAAGAGAAACTACAAGCATTTTCAGATATGTAGACCCTATGTCAGGTTTCTACTATCCAAAGGCGATCCATTGAGGTATCTCGACCAATATGGAAAACCTTGTTGGCAATCCATTCATTAATTTGACATCAAGAACAACGACCAACCAACACAGGTAAGTGGCAACGAGGGTAAATATATAAAACCCTGTTGAAGACACAACTTAACTGACACAGCAAATTTCAAATCCTTCAAAAGGTAGATAACAAATAATAATCACTATATAATATATATTGGTCATAAATTCGGTGTTAAGTGAAATGACTGCTCATAACTCAGGTAAACAACCATAAAAGGCTTCATACGTCCAGATATAAAGTATGATTGTCGTGGAATGATCAAAAACAACAATAGATGACGGTCAAAACAAGAATCAAAGGGTTAATGATTTGGAGTTGCAGTGGACATTTTTTGAAAGAATAATTTGCCCTGTACTCTTATCAAGTCTCACTAAATCCGGTCAACATAACCAGGCACCAGTTAGCACCAATTTGGCCATCTAAATGTCAAATTTCTTATTCCTTCTAACATTGCCTCAAGTAAGGCATTCAAAATGTCGACGATGCTAATCAGAGAATTAACACTGAATATTCATCTGGAGCATAAAAGAATATCCCTACTTGATAGCTGATCACATGGCCACTGTACTAAAGTTGATGAAATGAAACTCTATTTACATATGAGTAGAAGTATTTTTCAAGTGGTGTGTAAAAGCCACAAGCACCAACCAAATACTCTTTCCAACACAAGGATTATGAAATGATTATCCTCTAAATACCCCATATGTGAGCATAAATGTGATGCTAGTAATTACATTAAAATTAGGTATAAACAAGATATTTGTCCCCCTTACCTCTGGTTACACAATCCGGTAGTTCAGAAGTCAATAACATGGGTTATGAAATTTAGCAAGATAAAAAAAAAAAAAAAGGTTTAAAAAATCAACTGACATTTAATCAATTGATTCTTTTGCAGATAAACCTCGGGCTGTGAAAAAATTCATACTCCTATATATGTGGAGAAAACCGAATGATTGCATGCCAATTAAGAGAGAACTTGAGATTTGTAGGTTGGTAACAAAACTCATCACTAGCATTCCTATAAAACAAATTATATGCGTTTTGAAAACAGCAATTAAATGGAGCTAACCAATGTTAACACAAAAGATAACACCAACTGCCAAAATTAACAGGATTAATGAATAGGGCAGAATAAGGCGTTCTGATAGTAGAGGAGCTAAACGTGTTAATCAACCGAAATACAAAAGAGAAAAATTAGTCGAGGTATACGAACAAATTTGAGGTCGATGCAAAGGGTTATCATGCCTTACCGTGATTATGGTGCCGGTGAACGAAAAATTCAAAAGCTAGGGTTTATTTTATGGTACGAATGGTGAAGCAGGGAACCTGGAATGATCACTCTGCTCCTCGGGCCATTGAATTCTTTCTCTGTGTTCATCTCGAAAATTTATTTATGAAATCTGGAGGTTTTGTAGCCCCTTCTCAACTTAAAAAAACGAGGGCACTTTACTCCTTTACACAGTAGTTCATGTTTAGGTATTAGGGGTGTTCACGGTCCGGATTGGTCCAGTTTTACCCAAAACCGTACCAAACCGGACCTAACGGTTAATTTTTTTTCTTGTCCATAACCGGACCGGTTTTATTTTTTAACCGACCATAATCCGGACCGCATTGGACGGTCCGGTTTGATGGTTAACCGGTTAAATCCAATAATCAATGGTCAATGGAAAATCGGGAAATTCAATACCAATTTTTTTTTTTCCTCAAACGATTGTCTCCAATAAATCAGTATTCAATAAATGCACAACTCTCAGAAATCATCTGAAATTCAGAATCCTATTCAATTCAAGAGCAAGCCCATCAAAAAATTCAAGTTTTTTATTAGTATTACAGTAGGTCACAGAAGCAGATTGGTTCAACATGTCAGTATGTCACAACAATTTGGAAACCCACAAGCCACAACCGTACAGCTCAAATCATAGGCATAAAAATTAACCCAAAAAAATATGAGCTCAAATTGGGTGGGTGCAACCCGTACAATGAATCACGACTCACAGGCCCAAAGAAGAATGAGAGATTCAAAGCCAGAAAAGAAAATTACGAATCTGAGTTGCAGCCCTTACGAGGGGATTTGGGTGGCGAACTCAATTGAGAAGACGAGTGTCACGACGGCCTGCGGGGTGGAGTGTGTGCGGGAGCAAGAACGACCGAGCGAGGCGATGTGAGATTTCAAAATTCCGGCGATTTTGTGCGCCGACGCCGAGCAAAGGGAGATGGAGCGGGTGATTTTGTGCACCGTGCGGCGGACGGGCGGAGAAGTGCAGTGCTAGGTGGGGTTTTCTGGAGGATGAGACGATGAGTGACCGTGAGAGACGATTTGTTCCTGGAGGATAATATCATTATCTGCTTTGTCGATGGAATTGGAATGTTGGAGTGATAAATTGGGCCTGCTTAGTGCTTTGTGGTGGGCGGCCCGTTAACTAATGGCAATTCGGTTTCGGTCGATTTCGGTCGGTTATCCAAAATTTGTGCAGTCCTAGTTGGCCTAATTGTACCATCTCTCTATATATATATGTATATATATTTTTTATTATTTTTTAATGTATACCGGTCCGGTCCGGTTAAACCGGCGGTTTGCCGCAGTTAATCCGTTAACCGGACCGGTAATTCTGGATTTTTAAAAAAATTAACCACCGGATTTTTTAAGGCTTTTTTAACTGACCATTTAACCGATCCGCGGTCCGGATTGACGG